GAGGGTGAATGGGCAAGACAAAATATGTAAGTGCCTTTGAACAGGGTATGTTAGTAGGTGCCATGCGTGCCGGTTTGTGTCAAGAACTGCAACACTGCTGGGTTGTTCATGCTCAACAGTTTCCCGTGTGTATGAAGAATGGTCCACCACCCAAAGGACATCCAGCCAACTTGACACAACTGTGGGAAGCATTGGAGTTAACATTGGCCAGCATCCCTGTGGAACACTTTTGACACATTTTAGAGTCCATGCCCCGACGAATTGAGGCTGTTCTGAGGGCAAAATGTTCGGTATACTCAGTGTACGTACAAAAGGAAAATCAGCACACAAAAAACATGAGACCTATTCATTTAAATGAAATGTTTATTCTAGTAAACAATGACCATGTACAGAGGATTAACATTTAAAATAAATCCAAGCATTTCTTTTAACTCTTAGTGTATAGTCATATAACCTCAAAATGTTTTAAGTTACACATTTTTTCTCTTCTTATGGGACAAATATAACAGACATAATATACTGTTTGTATACACCTTATGCATTGCAGTAAGACAGCTTTGATTATTTATTCTCATCTACAGAGGAAGGACAGTTAAAGGCAGGCCAAAAGAAAAAGGAATGCATCGAGCTTCAGAAGTCAGATCAGTTGTCAGAAAAACAAAAGATAAGTCTTCTACAATCTCTACAATCTGTTTAGGCTTGTATTAGGCCTCTGCATGTATCTCTAAATGCATGATCAAACTCAACCAGGTTGGGGCAGACGGTACTCATATTAAAAGCATAGATATTTTAAAAGTCCAACTGGATTCACAGGTTTTTTCAGCACACGAACAATTTGAAAAATACAAAATAAAATCTATTGCACAATGTAGGTATCAAAGACAAAATACAGCATGAGTGGTAAGTACGTAGAGAACACTAGGCAGTGGATGTGAGAACACTTGGGCCCTATTTCAATACTCTCAAAATGCATCCTTCCATCCTGCCTCCCTAATCTAACATGATTGGATGGGTGATTGGGATACATAATGGAACCCTTTATTTCACCAATCCAATAGTGTCAGATCAAGGGGATACCTAGTCAGTTGCACAACTGAATGCATTCAACCGAAATGTGTCTTCCGCATTTAACCCAACCCCTCTGAATCAGAGAGGTGTTGCCTTAATCGACATCATCGACGCCAAGGAGCAGTTGTTGTTGGGGGTTAATTGCCATACTCAAGGGCAGAATGGCAGATTTGTTTCCACCTTGCTGGCTCGGGGATTCGAACCAGCAACCTTTTAGTTATTGGCTCAATGCCCTTAATCGCTTGGCTAACTTCAAAGAATGGAGTAAGAAAGGATGGATGGATGTATTTTCAAGGTATACAAAAAGGGGCATGAAATGACCAATGAACAGAGAGCTGTGGCTGAGTCTCAGGCCAACCAAGCACCCTCACTGTGGATTTCACCTAACCCGAGGGCACATTACAAGGGTTCTGACATAGAGCATGCTGGGTAAGGGCAGGAGTGTTGGCATCCCAAGCTTCGAGCGTCTGACCTGTGATTAAAACACCACAGGTAGGGCTGAAAAGGTCAAGGGTCAAATGCAGAAGACCACAGGCTACCTCCCCACTGTACACAGACATCAGTTCAACGTCTAGTTTTATTTTACATTTGGTTGAGTTGTCAACTAATGTGAATTGAAAAAAAAAAAAATCACCATGTCATTCGATTTAGGTTAAAAGTTAGGGTTAGGGGTAACCTAACCCTAACCTCTGCCGAGTCCCCAACAACCGGATGCTCCGGTTTTCAGGGGAAATGGAAAAAGAGCCTGTGAAGCGACTTCTACTTTTAGGCATTAACAAGAGACGACACTCCATCTTAACTCCTCCTTCACATTTACTGGATTGGTTGAACAGTGCAGAAGAGAACCTCCCCCAACAGTTTTTTTTCTTCTCGTCAAGACCAGTATGTAGGGGATCTAGTTTCAGGCGTTTCTTTTAACCCTGCTTTGTTAGGTTACCCTAACCCTAACCCAAAATACCAAATTCCCTTACGTTGATGACTTTTTTCAAATCAAATCAGTTTTCCATGTTGAATCAAAGTCATCACATTATTTTCTGGGGTTAAAATGACGTGGAAACAACGTTTATTCAACCAGTTTTTGCCCAGTGAGTCAGCTATATACAGCAGCACAGTTAAAGGTCAGATCTGTACCAGAACAGGTTCTTATAGAATATAATTACACTGTTTTAACCACTAGAGCAAAGAAGTTTGATATGTAAACATTAACAAATAAATGTCAGGGAGAGATGGTTTCTATTTCCACCTTGTGGCAGCGTTAACGGCCCATACCACTGAATTGTAACTTATCATGTCCTTTTCCAACCCAAAGGGGGATGTAACTTTAATAATAAATTTTCACAACATCCCATATGGCTAGGCGAGGTCTTTTCACTCAGACTAGTCCAATAGTAGGGGACAACAATGACATTACATGGAAGCTTAAAAACGTTAATGTATGACACATACAGTTCAGTACAACAGGAAAACATAGAACACAGGGGGAATTAATGTAACTGTCCTTTTCATATGGTTAGGACCTCAGCTGCTATTTTCATCATCTCTATTCAGTTCAATTCAAAGGTTGAAAGCAAAGTAAACCCCACAGGTTTAATGTGCTAAGCAGGCAGTACCATCAGCTAGGAGTTTCAAGTAAACGCAGCTATAAATAAAAGTGGTTGAGCCCAAGTTGTAACATCAAACTATGACAAACTGTACCGTAAACAGCTGAATATTCCAGTTATAGCTGTGAAACTCATGTGACCTAATTAATTTGCATATCATTGATGGTTAGCTGAAGAAAACCACAGTCCACTTCTAACTTTCTTTAACCTCTCTGCAGCTTGTGCTTGTAGGTTTGTAATTTTTTGCAGCTCTTTTCAACTAGAATTGTAATAAACTAAATGTTTCTTTCTTTTAACAAATAATACCTAAAATAATAAAATAACACATCACATAATTTTAAAAAATGTAATAAAAAGAAACCTCTATAATAAACTTATAATTTCCCTCATCTTGCCTTTTTGGTTGTTGTTTGACATACACTATCGGTCAAAAGTTTTAGAACAGCTACTCATTCAATGTTTTTTAAAATATATTTTCTACATTGTAGAATAATAGTGAAGAAATGAAAACTATGAAATAACACATATGGAATCATGTAGTAACCAAAAAAGTGTTAAACAAATCAAAATATATTATATATTTGAGATTCTTCAAATAGCCACCCTTTGCCTTGATGACAGCTTTGCACACTCTTGGCATCACTTGGTTACTACATGATTCTATATGTGTTATTTCATAGTTTTGATGTCTTCACTATTATTCTACAATGTAGAAAATAGTAAAAATTAAGAAAAACCCTTGAATGAGTAGGTGTTCTAAAACTTTTGACCGGTAGTGTACATCACAGCATTGTGAACTTACTTGAACTTTCAGAGGAGGCACAGCTAAGTGCCCATCCCTTCTCCCTATGTTCGCTGAAGAAGCACTGAAATATTGTCAAAACAATGCATCTACTATCTCACACTCGCAGAGAAAGAAAATATATCTGTACAGTTTGTTCTGGTCCGAACAGACCACTCTCTCACACAACACTTACAGTAGCCAGTCAGAGAAGAACCCAGCCACTGGCTTGCCACATTCATATAATAAACCAATACTAAAATAATGTCTCAATCTTAATAAGCATTCCAGCATAACCTTTAGGTATTCCCTTCTTCACATATGTCAGAGCTCTAATCGGGATCCATGCTCCTTCACCAGACCGACACATATTATGTTCATCTTTACATCTTTCATGTTGAGCCAGCCTTAATAGTGCATTTAAACAGTGCATCAGTTCATTCTAAAAGCACAGGTCATCATCTGTTCCCCTCCCCACCTATCAATTAAAAACAGTAAGAGAGATTGTGATTGTTGGCTTCAATCTCCCACTCCAACTCCAACCTCCCACCGTAAAGTAAAATCCAGTTCTGTTTTCACCAGTGATGTAGTGGTAAAAAAAAATTGGTGGGTAAACTCTGATCGCCGGTCGTGGTGAGAAAAGTAACACTCCCTATACTTTCAATGCATTTTTCCGCAAAAGGTGAATTAACTGTCACAAAAAATAAAAAAGGTGGGTAAACTGCATTTACTTGCGTTTCCCCTCCAGTACACCACTACATCACTGGTTTCCACTTCGGGACCAGGGTAACCCCAAAAGTTCTGTTTTGTAATTTTTTTGCTTTGAGAGTTTGTCAATCCGGAGATTGTGTGGTGAGGTGTGTGTTTCTGTGTGTGGTATCAGATGGAGTGTGTATGTGTGTTGTGGCGGTGGTGTGTGTCTGTGTGTGTGTGTGATTGAGGAAGCAGTCATGTGTTGGGCACATCGGCCCTGAGGGAAATGGCCAGCTCCAGGTCCTTCACAGTGTGTGGGGTATGGTGTGTGAGTCGTACACGTATGTGTTATGCATGTGTGCTTGTACGAGTAATGCTAGTAAGAGTATGTCTATGTTTGTGTGTGTCTATATATGTCTGTATCTCTATGTGTGTGGGCATCCCACTGGCCACAGACTTCAGTTCAACGTCTAGTTTTGTTTACATTTCGTTGAGTTGTCAACTAACGTGAATTCAACATGAAATCAACAAAAAAATCAACATGTCATTGGATTTAGGTTAAAAGTTGGGTGAAAAAATGACTAAATACCCTTACGTTACTGACTTTTTACAGATCCAATGAGTTTGCAACGCTGATTCAATGTCATCACATTGATTTTTTGTTGTTGTTGAAATGATGTGGAAACAACGTTGATTCAACCAGTTTTTGTCCAGTGGGATGTGTGTGTGTGTCCAGTCAAGTCCAGTCCAGGTCACCCGTGGGACATCTCGGCCTTGCTGAGAGCGATGGCCAGCTCTAAGTCCTCTTGCTCCTGCTGCCGGAGTCTCTTCAGCCGCTCCCGCTCCGCTCGCTCACTCTCTCGCTTCGCCCACTCCAGTTGCTGGGCCTCATTTCCAAACTACAAAGAGAAGAGGAGAGAGGCATTTAATATACAAATGATTCATCCCTCACACCGTATAGAAAACACACATTAGGAGGTGTTTTGACAGATTATTGTATTTTAGTGAACCTTATACTGTATATAAAGGGTAAACTTCCATGTCTGCCTGGCTACAGTAAGAGGATATACATGACTGTAGTTTTCACAGTCACCATCTACTATGCTCTGGATTATAACTATACAACGTATACACACATATTAATACACATCACACATCAGTACACACACAAAATATACACACTACTACACACACACTAATTGACCTAACCCTATCCTTCCTTTAATATTCAATTTAAGTGTGTTCTGCTGTTGGAGGAAATGTGCTTCTTATTGTTAAACCTAAGTGGTTGTGCTCAGAACCTACAGTACGAGACCAAAACACAAAACAAGCCACTATTCAATTTGACCGCATGTTCAAACATTCTTACCTTAACTTTTTCTGGTCCTGCGAGAGAAAAATGAATGATAAAACACCAAATAAATAATTCACCAATCGCGCATCACCATCCATTTTACACCGAGCACACTTCGAAACACCACAAGATACAACTAACTATGACAAAGCAACATGGAGGACTTTTCAGTTTGGTCCCAGGTGAAAATGAACGAGCAACTAAAAGCATATTTGAGGCAACATGTGAAAGTGGCATGCAGGGAGAAAATGACTTTTACATCATCTGTTAAAGTGACAGTATGAGATCTAGCCTGTGTAAGCTAGGAACTCTCCCATGCATACCAATACACACATATTAGCAGACACTGCTTTACCAACGTTAGATCTGATTCAGATGTCAGGGTCAAATGAGCACCTTCAATTCTTACTCACCAAAATAAATATGGAACATTTTAGTCATTTAGCAGACGCTCTTATCCAGAGCGACCTACAGTTAGTGAGTGCATACATAATTTTTTTATTTCGAACCCACAACCCTGGCGTTGCAAACGCCATGCTCTACCAACTGAGCTACATCCCTGCCGGCCATTCCCTCCCCTACCCTGGACCAATTGTGCGCCGCCCCATGGGTCTCCCGGTCGCGGCCGGCTATGACAGAGCCTGGATTCGAACCAGGATCTCTAGTGGCACAGCCTTAGACCACTGCGCCACTCGGGAGAATCCATTGAGGCGTTTAATAGATACATTACATTTGTTACCTTGAATTATTCATCATTCAATTCAGGGGCCAAGTTAATATATGATTATTAAATTATTATATGATATTGTATTTTTTTGTTGTTGATAATATCTTCATTCACCATGCCTCTTTAGTTTCAATAAAATCCAGGCAGCTGATTCTGTTAAAATAGTTTTGGTTACTTTGGGAGTAATTTGGCACAAGTCAGAGATGGTAAAACAGGATCTATGCTACCAATGTCATGCAGCAGACCAACACTAACCAGACTGAGCAAACTAAGCCTCAAGAAAAGACAAACTGATACACACTGATACTGCATCTACACACTAGTAGGACACACATCAGTGACACACACCATAGACATGCTGGGTAAGGACTCAGGACTGAGAGCTGAATAGTGATACTGCTGCTTCCCGTGTCTACAGATCCCACAGCCAGACCAGTGACTTGGAGCTGTCAGTCACTAAACCACACCGGATTGGCTTCCCTCTCTGGCCTAGAATGGCATAGGGCACACACTGATAGAATGACTCACTGACTGAATGACTGACTTACTGACTGAATGACTGACTGAATTAATTACTTAATAAGTGACTGACTCACTGACTGACTGACTGACTGACTGACTCACTCACTGACTCACTGACTGACTGACTCACTGACTCACTCACTGACTGACTTACTGACTCACTGACTTACTGAGTGACTGACTGACTGACTTACTGAGTGACTGACTGACTGACTTACTGAGTGACTGACTGACTGACTCACTGAGTGAATGACTGACTTACTTACTGACTGAGTGAGTGAATGACTGACTTACTGACTCACTGACTATCTGACACACTCACTAACTCAATGACTGACTTGCTGGCTGACTCACTGACTGACTGATTGACTGACTGGCTGGCTGACTGAGTGACTGATTGACTGACTGACTGGCTGACTGCTGATGATTGGAGCTTAGATGGTAAGGGTCAATATTCAGATATGAATATGCTGGATTATGGCTTCACTGAGTATGTTTACATGCACACTAATAATTAGATATTAAACTGATTATGGCAGTAGGCCGATTATGGTAATAGTCATGTAAACACTTTACTCTGCTTATTTTAATCGGCGTAAAGTCAAAATCGAAGTAAGCATACGCCGATTATAACACCTGGTTTTCTGAGCAATCTGTTGAATTATAAGAACATGTAACCACCTTAATTGGCGCTCCAGCGGTATATTTCATTTGCTAGCACCGGTAGCGCAAGCCTCCCTCTTATGCGCGAGTGAGTTCGAAAAACTGAAAGTATGCATCTTAGAAATACACTATATGGCCAAATGTATGTGGACACCATTTCAAATTAGTGGATTTGGCTATTTCAGCCACACTCGTTGCTGACAGGTGTATAAAATCGAGCACACAGCCATGCAATCTTCATAGACAAACAGTATAATTTCCCTTACTGAAGAGCTCAGTGACTTTCAACGTGGCACCGTCATATGATGCCACCTTTCCAATAAGTCAGTTTGTAAAATGTCTGCCCTGCTAGAGCTGCCCTGCTAGAGCTGCCCCAGTCAACTGTAAGTGCTGTTATTGTGAAGTGGAAATCTCTAGGAGCAAAAACGGCTCAGCCGTGAAGTGGTAGGCCACACAAGCTCACAGAATGGGACCGCCAAGTGCTGAAGTGCGTAGCTCGTAAAAATCATCTGTCCTCGGTTGCAACACTCACTACCGAGTTCCAAACTTCCTCTGGAAACAACGTCAGCACAATAACTGTTAGTCAGGAGCTTAATTAAATGGGTTTCCATTGCCGAACAGCCGCACACAAGCCTAAAATCATCATGTGCAATGCCAAGCGTTGGCTGGAGTGGTGTAAAGCTCCCCGCCATTGGACTCTGGAGCAGTGGAAACATGTTCTCTGGCGTGATGAATCACGCTTCACCATCTCGAAGTCCGAAGGACGAATCTGAGTTTGGCAGATGCCAGGAGAACGCTACCTGCCTGAATGCATAGCACCAACTGTAAAGTTTGCTGGAGGAGGAATAATGGTCTGGGGCTGTTTTTCATGGTTCAGGCTCCTTAGTTCCAGTGAAGGGTAATCTTAACGCTACAGCATACAATTACATTTTAGACGATTCTGTGCTTCCAACTATGTGGCAACAGTTTGGGTAAGGCCCTTTCCTGATACAGCATGACAATGCCCCCGTGCACAAAGCGAGGTCCATACAGAAATGGTTTGTCGAGATCGGTGTGGAAGAACTTGACTGGCCTGCACAGAGCCCTGACCTCAACCCCATCAAACACCTTTGGGATGAATTGGAAGGCCAACTGCGAGATAGGCCTAATCGCCCAACATCAGTGCCTGACCTCACTAATGCTCTTGTGGCTGAATGGAAGAAAGTCCCCGCAGCGATGTTCCAATATCTAGTGGAAAGCCTTCCCAGAAGAGTGGAGGCTGTTATAGTAGCAAAGGGGGGACCAACTCCATGTTAATGCCCATGATTTTGGAATGAGATGTTCGACGAGCACACTTTTGGTCATGTAGTGGCCAGAATCAAATAGGCTTTGCAAAAATAACATGGTCACTGTGGCGATTTTCGGCATTTATTTAAATCCCATCAGGTAGCCTGATTTCAGATGTGTTCATGGAAACAGCACTATTAGGGAAATGGTTCTTCTTGCAAAGCATGTAAACATTTTAAACAAAGTATTATATTAATCTGACTATCCACAATAATCACATTATTGTGTGCATGTAACCGTACTCACTGTGTGAGACACCCATTATTTGGTTTAGACAGACAGCCCAGGTCATAGCACCACACTGGCTGGATTATTCAACACTGATTTTAAAGCACCACACTGGCTGGATTATTCAACACTGATTTTAAAGCACCACACTGGCTGGATTATTCAACACTGATTTTAAAGCACCCACTGGCTGGTTGAATAATAATTCACACTCTGCCAGAATCTACTTATTGGACTGCCAGAGATGATTGCCAGAGATATAATACTTTTCAATTGTGCTTGTTTTAGCCCTCAAATTCAACTCTGGACCACAAAGCCAGTTCAACTGCGTTTGTTTCATTGTTCCCATCTAATCAGGGTGTATTTAATTATCAGGTAGAACAGAAAACCAGCAGGCTCTGGACCTCGTAGGGCAAGAGTTGAATACCCCTGCTCTATAGCATTTTAACCAGCAGCAAACCACAAGGCAAAATATAATTGTATTTATTTAAATGTTCCAATCGCAGTGCACACATCAAACCACAAAAACGGCTGACACCCTTGCCTGCACGAGTACTGGGGATCACTTCTGCAATGCAGCTCTGTGCTTTACTGCACAACATCAAATGCATTGTAGGTGGTGTGTAACCAACTACAACGCATGGGTTGAGAAAAATCCCCCCCAAAATCAGAACACAGTATAGACAAGTGAGAGCCTTATGTGGAACATTAGACAGGCTTACACTCAACAGGAAACAGCTAGATGGCAACAATGTGTTCAGTGTCATCCTTAGATATGAGGTATCAAATGTATTGGTCACATACACATGGTTAGCAGATGTTATTGCTAGTGTAGCGAAATGCTTGTGGGTTGGAACACACGCTTAAAGTGATTATCAGATTATCAGTGATCATGAACAGTAGTTATTACTAATGCCAAAGGTCTGAACAGTTAGCCTGTTACTTGGTGGTTAATATGCCATGGGTCTGAGTGGGCAGATGCCTGGTTCTGGTCTTAGGTTATTGACAAACAGAGACGTCTGCACAGTGAAGGGAGGCCAGGATGAGATGCAGCAGAAAGGTCTAGATAGACAGGCTGAGCCTTGTCGTCTGCTCTGCTCTAGATCCTTCAGTTAAACGTTGTGGGAGCTAGAAGCAGCGAGGTAGTGACTAGGTATATATAGACTGGTCTGGACAGAGAGAGAGTATCACTGAGCTCAACTTACAGAACTGAAGTCTGCAAAACCCAAGGAAGAGTCTTTAGAGGCTTTACTTGAGGCAGAAGGAGCAAAAGGGTCTTTGCCACTAAAGGGGTCTCCGACCACCTTTTTACTCTGAAAGGGGTCGATGGCATCACTGCCGAACGGCTGGAAGGGGTCGCAGGGCTTGGCCAAGTCGCCCGCTCCTCCAGGCATGTTGACGGGAGTGCTTTTACCTGAGGACATTGAGACAGTAAGGACACAGTCATTTCCCCAACAAAATAGACCACAACAGATATGGTGTACTCCCATGTGAACTATAAATGTTACACTGATGTCTCAAAGATGAAATATGTGGTTACGGGGACAACTTCAGGTATTAGGTGATGGTTTGATAACTTTTACCACAGAAATGTGACGTTTTTCCTTATCAATGTCTGCACCAAAACCACACGCAGCTCAACTTAAACAAAATAGAGAGAGCAGACAAACAATGCCCCCCCACCATCGCATACACACAAAATTGTACTGAAACAATATGCCAGCATGGAATGAATTAAACACATTAAATTAGATGGGCCATGCAGTATATTGCATAAACCCAGTATCAAAATAAATGGCGATATCCAATTGGTAGTTACAGTCTTGTCCTATCGCTGCAACTCCCGTACGGACTCGGGAGAGGCAAAGGTCGAGAGCCATGTGTCATCTGAAACACGACCCTGCCAAGCTGCACTGCTTCTTGACACACTGCTCGCTTAACCCGGAAGCCAGCCGCACCAATGTGTCAGAAGAAACACCGTACAACTGGCGTCCGTGTCAGCGTGCATTCCCCCGGCCCGCCACAGGAGTCACTAGCGCACGATGGACATCCCGGCAAGCCAAACCCTCCCCTAACCCGGACGACGCTGGGCCAATTGTGCGGCGTCTCATGGGTCTCCTGGTCGCGGTCGTTTGGGGATCGAATCCGGGTCTGTAGTGACGCCTCAAGCACTGTGATGCAGTGCCTTAGACCGCAGCGCCACTCGGGAGACCCGCAATTTCCTATTTTATGCTGGGTTTTATGGCGAGCAGATGCGTAGAGTTTCTGCCCACATAACCAACTGAGGATTCAGTTCACAAGTTCATCAGATCGCTCCTCGGTGGGTGATGCCATGCCAAGGCCCTAGGGACAGCAGTGTTTTCTGACTACACTTAGAAAAAAAGGTTCCAAAAGGGTTATTTGGCTGTCCCCATAGGAGAACCCTTTTTGGTTCCAGGTAGAACCCTTTTGGGTTTCATGTAGAACCCTTTGTGGAAAGGGTTTTACATGGAACCCAAAAGAGCTCTCCCTGGAACCAAAAGGGTTCTTCAAAGGGTTCTCCTACGGGAAAAGCGTAATAACTTTTTTAGGTTCACCTTTTTTTTCTAAGAGTGTAGAGACCAGAGTTATTCCTGGTAATGTCAGGAAAAACTCCTGGCCTTATTTATGCCAACGTATTGTATCCTCATATCTTTATATCCACATATAAATATATCAATCATTTCACAAAGAACTGAAACTACTCTAAAATAGGTTCAAGTTAACATGGTAGTGATGTTTCTAAGCTGTTTCTCTGTAGGCCACCCTCGGCTGGCACAGTCAGTGGGCCGTGGGAACATAGTGCTGGTTGTTGTTGCTTCTGAAGGTGTTGACCACATTGTCAATCAAACTATTATTTATACCCGGCTTGCCAAGGTTAGCAGTTCACAGCCCGACTGAACAGCCAGGCAATACGTTTCTCTCTTTCAGGAAATGGAACATAGTCTTTCCCACATACAGTCAGCTCCACCCTGCTCCAAAATACCAGCACATCATCAGTGCCACCTATCAATGTCATGCACAAGGCACACCTCAGAACCCCACAAACAAAGGTTCTGACATGATTCTCATGACATAAATCATATGTCCTATTTATGACCGACTGACTGTATCTCGTACAAATCTAAAGTATCGCTATGTAATACATTCAGAAGTATTGCCATGTAATGACTTCAGAAACCACCTAGAAACATTAAGATATCTGCATCAAACTATGACTCTGTCAGTGACCTTTCACTTATCTACTGTATGTTGCAAATTCTTCTCTACCCATATCATATATTTTCCATGGTTCTATAAAACCAGGTGTGAAATATGTTTATTGGCCAGGGCACAGAGTGTGACCAGAGTCGGGTAAGAGGTCGCCAGAGAAGCCACACTGCTCACCCGAGTGTGCACACACATGCCTGCACCCACACACACACACGCACAGTGGAAACAGAGGAAGTGGGGAAGGGTGGGGTTGAGAACATCGGGCGATCTGGTGTCACCATGGCCAACCACAGATCATCTGTGTTCTTACTCATCATCTCCTGTGAGACCTGATGCTCTGTGTTCTCCCTGCAGCTTGGCATCTAACACTAATGTCAAGCAAGGATTCTAAAGATAGATGTTTAGCTACAATTTTTATTTATGTTATGCATGTAATTCAGCACACAAACCACTAACATGCATCAAAGTTGCAACTACTTTGTAATAATGTATACCTAGGCTATATTGCAATTACATTGCATATTGAATACATGGTTTTACCATAAAGTGGGACCGCTTTAATAATAGTAGGTGGTGAAATCATGAAAATCATGAAAGCGACAGTGGTTTGGCAGAGATGATGAACTCTTCTTCTCTGTTTTCATGAAGTGTCTTTCTTGTTTCTGAGCTGCAGTGAGCATCGCTGTTTGATCTATGACTACTGACTAGCATACTCTACTCATGTGGAGGTAAGAGAGGAGGCGACACCAGCAGAGTTTAAGCTTTAAAGACTACCCACTGGGCACAGACGTCAATTCAACGTCTATTCCACGTTGGTTCGACGTAATTTTGTTGAAATGACGTGGAAACGACGTTGAATCAACCAGCGTGTGCGCAGTGGGTATGCAGATCCCTTATAACTCCTTCTAGTCAACTACGTTCTAACAGTCAGAAGATATGTGATGATGAGCCATGCCAGTCATCCTCACAACCTTATTCTGTGTATGTCACTAGAAGATCTAAACAAAAGAGGGGAACACTTGCAGTGAAATGACAAAGGGAAATACTAAATCATCACAATTCTATAAGTTGACCTATATTGCAAAGTGTACTGTTAATCAAGGTACAAGGTGTTAAGTAGTATTATTCATAGTGAAACCTAGAAGGTAGGCATTACCCGTCCTTGGTTAACCCGCTACCTCCCCCTCCTCTCTAGTTAATTTTTTCTCTCTCCCTTTCCCTCTCTCTGTTTAGCATTCTCTATCTGCCCCTTTGTCTCTCTCTCTCTCCTACACCTCCACTCCATCTCTATTCTCTCACTTATTTCCTCCCTCTATTTCTCCCTGTTTCCCTTCAGCCTCACTCACCACTGGGAGGTTTGGGTCTGGGGGGAACACCCATCTTGGGCGGCAGAGCTGGGCCGTCCTGCTTCCTACTGAAGGGGTCCTCCACAAACCCCGACTGGAGGGAGGGAGGGAGAATATATGAGTCTTCAGATGCCAAAGCTGAAGCTAATAGCAGTCACTTCACAACTGTCCATAAGTTCCAAATCATATTAAGACTGATGTGCAGTGGTGTTAAATCAGGAAGTTAGAAAAACTACCCAAACGGTTCATTGTGCACCTCTGGATAGGAATTGTGCAGTCTACTGAATAAATAAATGCAATGTAAAAGTTCATAGTCTTTAGTAGATGTACCTGCTGGTATTCTGGGAAACCTCCTCTTCCTTTCATTGGGTCTCTGACCTTTGACATTTGGCTGAAGTCTGCAAACCCACTGTTACTGATACTGCCAAATGAGCTGTTACTGCCTCCAAAAGCAGTGCTGCTTCCAAAGGGGTCCAGAGTGCCAAAGAGATCTGAGCAAATATCAACATGAGACGTTTAAGAAAAGTTAGTCCAGGGTTTAGGTTACACAGCACAAATACACAAATATTCAAAGTATTCGAAAGGGTGCTCTATGAAACATAATCAAAAGGGAATCATGGCGTTCTCCCAGAAGCTTGGCTGGTGCGTAAAACCATGGCGCTCTCCCAGAAGCTTGGCTGGTGCGTAAAACCATGGCGTTCTCCCAGAAGCTTGGCTGGGGTGCGTAAAACCATGGCGCTCTCCCAGAAGCTTGGCTGGGGTGCGTAAAACCATGGCGCTCTCCCAGAAGCTTGGCTGGTGCATAAAACCATGGCGCTCTCCCAGAAGCTTGGCTGGTGCGTAAAACCATGGCGCTCTCCCAGAAGCTTGGCTAGGTGCGTAAAACCATGGCGCTCTCCCAGAAGCTTGGTTGGTGCGTAAACCATGGCGCTCTCCCAGAAGATTGGTTGGTGCGTAAAACCATGGCGCTCTCCCAGAAGCTTGGCTGGTGCGTAAAACCATGGCGCTCTCCCAGAAGCTTGGCTGGTGCGTAAAACCATGGCGCTCTCCCAGAAGCTTGGCTGGTGCGTAAAACCATGGCGCTCTCCCAGAAGCTTGGCTGGTGCGTAAAACCAATAGCGCTCTCCCAGAAGCTTGGCTGGTGCGTAAAACCATGGCGCTCTCCCAGAAGCTTGGCTAGTGCGTAAAACCATGGCGCTCTCCCAGAAACTTGGCTGGTGCGTAAAACCATGGCGCTCTCCCAGAAGCTTGGCTAGTGCGTAAAACCATGGCGCTCTCCCAGAAACTTGGCTGATGCGTAAAACCAATAGCGCTCTCCCAGAAGCTTGGCTGGTGCGTAAAACCATGGCGCTCTCCCAGAAGCTTGGCTGGTGCGTAAAACCATGGCGCTCTCCCAGAAGCTTGGCTGGTGCGTAAAACCATGGCGCTCTCCCAGAAGCTTGGCTGGTGCGTAAAACCATGGCGCTCTCCCAGAAGCTTGGCTGGTGGTAAAACCATGGCGCTCTCCCAGAAGCTTGGCTGGTGTGTAAAACCATGGCGCTCTCCCAGAAGCTTGGCTGGTGCGTAAAACCAATAGCGCTCTCCCAGAAGCTTGGCTGGTGCGTAAAACCAATAGCGCTCTCCCAGAAGCTTGGCTGGTGCGTAAAACCATGGCGCTCTCCCAGAAGCTTGGCTGGTGCGTAAAACCATGGCGCTCTCCCAGAAGCTTGGCTGGTGCGTAAAACCATGGCGCTCTCCCAGAAGCTTGGCTGGTGCGTAAAACCATGGCGCTCTCCCAGAAGCTTGGCTGGTGCATAAAACCATGGCGCTCTCCCAGAAGCTTGGCTGGTGCGTAAAACCAATAGCGCTCTCCCAGAAGCTTGGCTGGTGCGTAAAACCAATAGCGCTCTCCCAGAAGCTTGGCTGGTGCGTAAAACCATGGCGCTCTCCCAGAAGCTTGGCTAGTGCGTAAACCCCGCAAATTCAGACAAACAAAAATGTGTATTGGGTCCGCCCTCAAAAAGATGTTGCATAAAGCTTCCTTCATTATTCAATTTTTTGAAACAAGACTGATATGGTTTGTGCTTCCAGAGTCATTGCTCAACGGTTGGCACACTGTTGCATCAATGTTTCACTGTTTCACCCCTGAGTGTGTAGAAACCCTGTGTAGTTTCAGTCAAGAGAGACAAAATGAGCTGGCGAAAAGATTTGACTATCAAGTATCCAACGTGACACCTTTTCTCTTGGCGCATAAGTTCAATAGGCAAACTAACATGAAAACCTGACCCTACAAATATCCAACTGCCACAGCCTGCCCTGTGCTCTAGCACGGCGATGTTATTGCAGTACTGCATGGTGTAATGTGTTTATATGGACTACAGCAATTTCCTAGGGAAAATAAAAAGAGGACTTTCTTTGCACAACCCCAGAGAAAAGAAGGGTTGATTGAGAATGGGACCTACACACTTACACAGTTACAGATGGCCCTGTCCAAGGTCTCTCTAGGGCTATTTCAGATGCCATGAGCTATCCTCTGGGACCAAGCCACAATGCATCTCTTGTTTTCACAGGGACTGTTTCAAGAGCTTTAAGTGGTTCATGTGCTGCTAAGAATGGGAACCTTAGGAAAATATCACATCAAACAAGAACCTCAACTGTTTCCCTCTCTTAAAACCATTAGGGTCAAAATGTTACCCATCTTATTCATACAAATTCTATTTGAGGTATTGTGCTATTTTACTCTGATATTTGTTAACCACCAGCACCCAAACACAGACTGAGACCTACCCTGTGTTTAAAAACGTGAAGGGAAAAAAAGGGTTGGAGGGTTTAAACGCATGTCAAAGATGGGAACTATTTTCATAGCTTCTTGTCAACTGCACTGCGGGTTAAGACAGCTCACTACCCCAAAGGCCTATATGCTTATACACAGACAGCAGTAGGCTGGGCCAAAAAGGTGTGAAAAGCATTGTGTAACTCACCGGAAAATGAATCACCTTTATTCACCAAATACATTTGCATGTACAGGAATTTGACTTTACACATCACTGGTGTATATCTCTCTCTCTCTGAATACAGAAAGCAGACTTATACATGCCAGAGAAAGAGGTGGAGAGAGAGGTAGCCTAAAGACGACTTGGGGTGATAAGAAATAGGAGAATAGGAGAAAGATATTTGAGCATGTACCTGGTCCTGGGCCTCTGCTGGGTTTTGGGCTAATGGATATGAAAGGGTCTGCGCTGCTTGTAAAATTACTAGTCTGCAAGAACAAGCATAAAGAAACAGTTACATACATACACTGAGTATACCAAACATTAGGAAGCTATGATCCCTTATTTATAGTATTTTGTTAAATCCACTTCAATCCTTGTAGATGAAGGGGAGGAGACAGGTTAAAGAAGGATTTTTAAGACTTGAGACAATTGAGACATGGATTGTGAATGTGTGCCATTTACAGGGTGAATGGGCAAGACAAAATATGTAAGTGCCTTTGAACGGGGTATGTTAGTAGGTGCCAGGCGCACCAGTTTGTGTCAAGAACTGCAACGCTGCTGGGTTTTTCACGCTCAACCGTTTCCCGTGTGTATCAAGAATGGTCCACCACCCAAAGGACATCTAGCCAACTAAACACAACTGTGGGAAGCATTGGAGTCAATGGAACGCTTTCGCCACCTTGTAGAGTCCATACCCCGACGAATTGAGGCTGTTCTGAAGGCAAAGGGGGGGTGCAATTCAATATTAGGAAGGTGTCCTTAATGTTTTGTACACTCAGTGTATGTCATGGAAAGAGCAGGTGTCCTTAATGTTTTGTATACTCAGTTTATACACCCACATATAAACTGAATTGAAAATACAAATATATTCAATGTGGTTAGAAGGTACCATGATGGCTTCTCTGTACCTTGGTGGGGAGGGTGGCACTTTTACTGAAGGGGTCAGGGGTGCTGAAGGGGTCTGCCTTGATGGTGGTCTTCTTGAAGAAGTCTTCCGACGAGGCCTTGAAGGGGTCCGTCTCTTTGAAGGGGTCCCCCCCAAAGGGGTCTGGGTGGAGAGAAAGATCTAGGAGAGCAGACTGTAGATCAGACATGACCTTTCCTTCACACAGGCCAGTCTGACTGGGCTGTATACTTCACATAGAGACGCTATATGAATTAGGTTTACTCTGTAGTCTGTAGCATCCGGACCATAAGTCATATAGTAGTGGAGATAATGTATGTCTAATTTGGTTAACCTCTTCAGTAAGACTCATTTAACCCAGTTGAGGCACTATGTTCAACGTTATTTCCCATTTCCCCTTATGAAAGTTCTATGCATTTTGTTTTAATCAGTTCAAATTGATGTGTGTTCAACTCTCATTGACTTTACTATAGTCAACATTGAGAACGTAGGCATTCTCCATTACGCAAGACAAACACAACAAGTGTCTACAGACATTTGGCAATCACCATTAAGATAACATTCAATATACAGCAAATATTTTATTTGGAATGTATCTTATAATTACAGTTAGGCTTATTGCCTTAGGAGTAAGCGAGGTGTGTGCTGCAATGAAAACATCAGTGCTTTTTTTTGCCTCATCATGAAGATAAGGTAACAGAAAGTCCCCAATATTACAAAGAGAGAAGTGTGGCGGTGAAGGCCTGTTTTTCACAGTTCCATAGTGTCATTAACCTCCACGGGATCGGTGTCCCGTACACGGGACGGTTGAGCTAACGTGCGCCAATGTGATTAGCATGACTGTTGTAAATAACAGCAAACTTTCCAGGACATAGACATGTCTTATATGGGCAGAAAGCTTAAATTCTTGTTAATCTAACTACACTGTCCAAGTTACAGTAGCTATTACAGTGAAAAAACACCATGCTATTGTTTGAGGAGAGTGCACAACAACAAAAAATGTATCACGGCAACTGGTTTGATACATTCACCTCTGAAGGTAAATAATGTAATTCAGTAATCTTTCTCTGATTTGTCATCCTAAGGGTCCCAGAGATAAAATGTAGCATAGTTTTGTTTGATAAAATCCATTTTTATATTCAAATGTAGGGTTCTACAGTTTGAACCCCTGCGGTCTCTGGCTCCACACCCACCCCGCCGGCCATCTAGATGTGTGAAAGTTAGTGTATAAGCTAATGACCCATCATGCATGTGCAAAGAACCATGGCGTGACCCTGGACAACACCCTGTCGTTCTCCGCTAACATCAAAGCGGAGACCCGATCCTGCAGGTTCATGCTCTACAACATTCGCAGAGTATGACCCTACCTTACACAGAAAGCGGCACAGGTCCTAATCCAGGCACTTGTCATCTCCCGTCTGGATTACTGCAACTCGCTGTTGGCTTGGCTCCCTGCCTGTGCCATTAAACCCCTACAACTTATCCAGAACGCTGCTGCCCGTCTGGTGTTCAACCTTCCCAAGTTCTCTCATGTCACCCCGCTCCTCCGCACACTCCACTGGCTTCCAGTTGAGGCTTGCATCTACTACAAGACCATTGTGCTTGCCTACGGAGCTGTGAGGGGAACGGCACCTCCTTACCTTCAGGCTCTGATCAGACCCTACACCCAAACGAGGGCACTACGTTCATCCACCTCTGGCCTGCTAGCCCCCCTACCTCTACGGAAGCACAGTTCCCGCTCAGCCCAGTCAAAGCTATTCGCTGCTCTGACACCCCAATGGTGGAACAAGCTCCCTCACGACGCCAGGGCAGCGGAGTCACTGACCACCTTCCGGAGACACTTGAAACCCTACCTCTTTAAGGAATACTTTGAATAGTATAAAAGTAATCCCAATAAAAAAGGGAAAAAAAGTGGTTGTCCCACTGGCTATCATAAATTGAATGCATTAATTTGTGGGTCGCTCTGGATAAGCGCGTCTGCTAAATGACGTAAATGTAAATGTAAATGTATGACATTCCTGGGAGTGTGTAAACTTACATTTTGTATTACCATATCATTTTTGTATGTTCTCTATAGTTATGTAGTTGGAAATGTATAAATTTACCAATTCGGCACATTTGGGCAGACTTGATACAAAATAGTCCAGTATTGCAATGCTTCACTGGATCAATCTGAAACTCTCCACACACACTGCTGCCATCTAGTGGCCAAAATCTAAATTGCGCCTAAACTGCAATATTATATTGTGGCCTTTCTCTTGCATTTCAAAGATGATAAAAAATAAATAAATAAAAAAACACGCATGTTTTTTTGTTTGTATTATGTTTTACCAGATCTAATGTGTTATATTCTCCTACATTAATTTCACATTTCCACAAACTTCAAAGTGTTTCCTTTCAAATGGTATCAAGAATATGCATATCCTTGCTTCAGGTCCTGAGCTACAGGCAGTTAGATTTGGGTATGTCATTTTAGGAGAAGATTTTAAAAAAGGGCCCGATCCTTAAGAGTTTTTATCATGACAAGAGGATGGCATTGTATGTCCATCACAGGAGGCTGCTGACGGGAGGACGGCTCATAATAATGTCTGGAACGGAGCAAATGGAATGGCATCAAACATGGAAACCATGTGTTTGATACCATTCCCCCTATTCCGCTCCAGTCATTACCACGAGCCCATCCTCCCTAATTACGGTGCCACCAACCTCCTGTGATGTCCATGTATAATTAAGCTCATGTATGGCTCTTTCGTGTTGTGAATAAATAAATACCTGCAGCGGCTGGTAGTGATGACTGCTTTGCAAAAGGGTCATTTTGGAAGGGGTCACCTATAGGAGAGGAATCAAGTGGGAGGGGGGAGACAATCAGAGGCTATGCCACAGAGAACAAAAGCTAAAATGCTGGAATGGGGATTCTAAACCCTGAGGGATCAAAAACAAATTATAGAGCACACTTAAGGCAAACAAAGGCAGAACTGCAAAAACAAAGTCTTAGACAAGCTGCAGAGGAGTCCACATTGCTTCTGGTGAAACTACCAATAATGTCAGGGAGAGGGAGGATGGGAGCGCTGTGGGAACATTTGAGTGAGGAGGAGAGGGAAAGGAAAGAGAGAGAGGGAGAGGAGATGGAGAGGAAAGAGAGATGGAGAGGAAAGAGAGAGATGGAGAGGAAAGAGAGAGATAGAGAGGAAAGAGAGAGATGGAGAGGAAAGAGAGAGATGGAGAGGAAAGAGAGATAGGCGAGAGAAAGGAGAGGGAGAGGCAGAGAGAGGGAGGCGTAAAGAGAGCGGGGAGGGAGGATAGGAAAGCGGAGGAGATAGAGGAGAGAAAGCGAGATGGAGACGCTGAGGAGGCGGAGAAGATCGGACGAGAGCCGGCGAGAGGGAGAGGGGAGCGGGAAGAGAGATCAGCGGAGGGTGGAGGAGAGGAAGAGAGGGAGAGAGGAGAGGAGAGAGGAGAGCGAGGGAAAGGGCTGGCGCAGGAGAGGGCCTGGCGCAAGAGAGCAGATGGCAGAGGAAATGAGAGAGATGGGAGAGCGAACGAGAGAGAGGAGAGGAAGAGGAGAGGAAAGAGAGGGAGAGGAGAGGAGGGATGGATGAGGGGACGAGGGACTAGAGAGATGGAGAGGAACCGAGGAGAGCGATGGGGAGGAGATGGAAGGAAAGAGGAGAGAGGAGAGGAGGGAGGGAAAAGGGAGATGGAGGAGAGGAGGGAGAGGAAAGAGGAGATGAGAGGAAAGAGAGAGATGGAGAGGAAAGAGGAGGAGAGGAGGGAAAGAAAGAGAGAGAGGGGAGGAAGAGGGAGAGGGAGAGAGATGGAGAGGAAAGGAGAGAGAGGAGAGGAAAGAGAGAGGGAGAGGAAAGAGAGAGGAGAGGAGGAAGAGGAGAGGGAGGGAAGAGAGAAGGAGAGATGGAGAGGAAAGAGAGAGAGGAGATGAAAAAGAGATGGAGAGGGGGAGGGGGAGGAGGGAGAGGAGTGGAGGGCGAGAGAGGATGGAGGCGAAGAGGAGATGGGAGGGCAATTAGGATGGAGGCGGAGCTGGCGCTGGAGGGAGAGAGTGGAGGGAAGAGAGAGGGGCAGACTGAAACGAGGGATGCGGCGTGAGAGCAGGTGGCGAGGAGGAGGATGGAGAGAAGAGAGCGAGAGGAGAGGAAGATGAGGGAGAGAGATGCGGCGGGGGAGGGAGAGGAGATTGAGAGGAAAGAGAGAATCAGCACTTTTGAAGGGGTCTGTCTTGAAGGGGTCTGTCTTGAAGGGGTCTGTCTTGAAGGGGTCTTCGGAGTGGAAGGGGTCTGTGTGCATCTCCTGAGGGACGCTATTGAACCCAGATGTCTTCACCTTGAACGGGTCCTCCTGAGAAGGGGAGAAAAACAGGGATTTGTGATGTCTGTCTGGCTCTGGAGAGCTTCGGTTTATTTACACTTAAAACGCTGCCACCATCTCCAACCATTTTCCCCTCAGACAGGCATTAAGGAGAAAACCAACGCACTTCGACTCCATTGTTTATTCAGTCGACCGCTAAGTCTCGCCGAGCTGCCACACGACAGCCATCAAATCAAATACTTCACATTTCAATAACGGCCCACTCAGGTTCAAGTGGAGGAATTTGAGTTCAACAACACTAACAGAGACCTCGGAGAGAGGAATGTGTGCCTGAAGAAAAGCCCCACTATGACTGCCTGGTTCCAGATGAGACCAGACCAGAGAGCCCCCCGAGCTTGAGTTTCACTTTAATAACGCACAGGCAATTTTCATTCTCCTGCAATTTGTCCATTCGGTGTCTGCTGCGCTCCACTGCACTCAGCTGGTCCCAATAAAATAGCCCCCGAGTCGGTAGGAAAACATTTCTGTTAGGCCCACATTCTTTAGGGTGTCGGGTTTCTCTAGAAAACCTGCCTTCACGTGCCAGACGAGCCCTAGCTATGAAAACGCTTACTTGTTATGTTTCATAAGCAGGATTTCTCCTTATTTCAATAAGAAGTCTGTGCCTATCCCAGGCAGTGTCAGAGGAAGGCCCTCAAAATTGTCAAAGACTCCAGCCACCCTAGTCATAGACTGTTCTCTCTGCTACCGCACGGCAAGCGGTACCGGAGTGCCAAGTCTAGGTCCAAAATACTTCTCAACAGCTTCTACCCCCAAGCCATAAGACTCCTGAACAGCTAATCATGGCTACCCGGACTATTTGCACTGCCCCCCCACCCCATCCGTTTACGCTGCTGCTACTCTGTTAATTATTTATGCATAGTCACTTTAACTCTACCCACATGTACATATTACTTCAACTACCTCAACTAGCCGGTGCCCCCGCACATTGACTCTGCACCGGTACCCCCCTGTATATATAGCCTCCCTACTGTTATTTTATTTTACTTCTGCTCTTTTTTTTCTCAACACTTTTTTATTTTTACTTTTTTGTTAAAAATAAATGCACTGTTGGTTAAGGGCTGTAAGTAAGCATTTCACTGTAATGTCTGCACCTGTTGTATTCGGCGCATGTGGCCAATAAAATTTGATTTGATTTGATTTGAAGTCTGACCATGATCCCTGTATTTACTCAGCCACACTTCCCAGAATTAGGACCAAGAATAAGCACTAAGTGTTCGAGCCCTTTCAAAATGCACAGGTAATAAAGCTTAAGATGGAATAATAGAGGGCTGCCAGGTAAAATAACAGCGTGCGAGAGTATTTAAGCCAAGATAATTACATTATGTGGAAAGCAAATAAGATATAACCAAACTATGGGATTAATCCACTTAAGATTCTGGAGTCGCTCGTTTGAATGGAACATTTCTGATGCTAAATGAAGGAAGTGATACCTCCTTTCTTTGCAGGTGAAGGTTTTGCACAGTCCCCTAATCGTCTCTTTTTATCTGATAAGCTCTCTGCAGCTGTTCGAAGTGGTGACACGCAGATGAATTTCACACCCAGGCCAGCAGGTTTCAATGAATCATCATATTACCATGATCTGAAAGGAACTACAACATTACACTAGGGCTGCAATCCATTGTTCAAGTCCAAATGTACCAGCTATGTTCAGTAGAGTAGAACAATATCCATTGTTGGATACTCTGCCTTTTGTAGGTTTAACCAGTTCTCCACTAGACACCAAGCATTCAACCTCAATTTACCTCTCCTATATATTACTTCTACAGGTTTGCAATGCACTTATGTGCTACTTCTTTAGGTTTACAAATAGAGCCACATGACCTGGCCAGGAAAAGAACTCTGGCCGTAGATATATGGCCCTGAATTTAACCTCCTGTCCCTATAAACAGTGTGGTCTCCTCACCATGGCTCCGAAGCCTCCATTCTCGCGGTCGGGGAATCCCTCGCTCATGTCAGCCAGGTTGGTCATGCTGCCTCTGTGGGTCCCGTTCAAGGTGCTGTTGTACTGCTCAATGCTCTTATTCATCTCCTGCTGGCTGTCCTGGATCTGAGACAGCTTACTGCGAGCCTGAAGGAACAGCACAACACAGTAGGTTAATGTAGGGTTTCATTCAACACAGAGAATGTTAGGGTTGTTAGGGTAGCAACACAGTCCTATGTGAATGCAGGGTGCTGTGGTCCATGTGCAGGGCCGGCTCTAGACTTTTGGGGGCCCTAAGAGACCACTTATGTCACTTATGCCTGGAGCCGGCCATGTCCATGTGTTTGTACATAAGGTTGTGATTACTTTTTCCATTTAATTTCAATATGTCCTTGAGAGACAAAACTAAAATCATAAAGTGGCTACAGCTGAGTGCTGGTATTCCCCTTGGCTCCTCACAGATGGTGGGCTGAGAATACAACAGGGACTATAGTGGTGTAATCTCAATATGGTTTGAATTTATTGAGAGAAGAGTGACAAATTCTGATATTAGAGTCAATATGATTTGGTCCTGATGAGTATGGATGTGCTGCTGTTTGTTCATAATGAGAGTAGATGAGAATGGATCATCTCTCACGTATCTCAATGCAATGGCAAGGACATTCCCCCACCTATAAAAGAGAACACAGCCATGTATGGCTCAGCATCCTTTCTCAGGGTGATACGAGAGATGTGAGAAGGTGATGTGAGATCTGAGGCGTGGGCTGTGGCACGTGGAAGTCATGTCAGATATGATGATCCAGATGATGCAGAAAGCGGAGGTAGAACAGTTGATGCTCTAACTGAAACTGCCACACCCAAACCTGGCAGAGGACTGAGAACCAGCTGATATCTCCAAATGAATTCAAGAGAGCACATGCACTTTAAAATATAATAACGAAATATATTGCATTTTCTCTCTAAAACAACTTCCCTAGAATTTCACTGAAAATGAAGTACGCCTTAAATGTCCAGTCTATGCTGAATTACTTTCAGAGAAATGGGAGGATAGAACTCAAGAGAGAAAGAACCAAGCACAAATTGAATCTGGTTGGTTTCGCCATTCATAACACAAAGTCTCCCCCTGGTGGTCACATTAGAAAGTGTCTTGCAACAGGTCCTCTCACATCCCAGACACATCAGCCTTGTTCACACCATAGGACAAAACAGAGCCGAGCCATGCTGAGCTGAATTGGGCTGGCCTGGTTACGCATGCACCATAGATAGCTGTGCTGGAACCATGCTGGAAAGGACAATGCGACAATAACATTTCAGAACCAGCATGGTTCGGGTTGGCCCTATTGTGTGAATCAGGTAAGGTTGTGGTCGTTGTCCTTAACGCTAACTCCAACAGGACATCACTGTTTCTAGGACCTCTGCATATCTGACTGGGAACATTCCCGTTGCTTCTCCTCTCTCACTACCAGGCCCCAGTGGTTCTCTCTCACCTGGTTGATCTCATCCTGGGTAGCTTTGAGGGACTTGATGATGGTCTCCAGCTGGAACTTGCCAGCAGTCAGGCTCTGTTCCATCTGGCTCTCCTCCAGCTGCAGCCGGTTCAGGTCTGCCTTAGCCCGGCTCAGTTCCTCCTCCTGGCTCTGCAGGTCTGTCTCCTGGGAGTGGATCTGGTTCTGCAGAGACGAGATCTGGGGTAGAGAAAGCGATTGACAGCAACAGACAAAGGGAGAGAGGGAGCGAGAGAAAGCCGACAATGTAAGCTTTGTCCATCAATCCAAGGATGTAAGGTCTGTTTATCAGATTGATAGTGAAAAGTAGCTATGGATTTGTTTCATATTGATTCCACAACTACTACCTGACCCCTGTCCAATCCCTCTCTCAACCTTCTGCCGATCTAACCCTCCATCCCTCTCACCATTTGGGACTCCTCCTTGCACTGGATCCTGACGTCGTTGAGCATGTCCTCCAGCTTGGTCTTCTGCTGGTCCATCTCCTCCAGCCGCTCCTGGGCATCCTGCTTCTGGGCCTCCAGCTCCTGCAGACAGCACGTCTCTTTGTCCAGGTCGTTCTGCATCTCCTGATGGACAGATGGGGGGAAAGAAGAGGATATTGGTTTGGGGGAAGATACATTTAAATAATTGAAATAGGGTGTTTTCGGAAAAACAGTAAATTCCAGATTTATCACAATTCTTCAATTTGGAGAACCACCATATTGCATTTAAAAAAATATTTATACATATGTGAAAACCCCTGAGTCCCCTTTTAATTAAAAATGGTATGCCTGCTCACCTGCACCTCTGAGGACTTGTGTCTGATGGCCTCCTCAGTCTCTCTGATGTCCTGCTCCAGGGTGAATTTCTCCCTGAGCGAGAGACAAACACACACAACCATCAATACACAGCACCACAGGGTAGAACCAGCCAGTCTCCCTCTCCTCCCCCTCCTCCTTCCTTCCCTCCCTCTCCTCTTTCCTTCTCTTCCTCCTTCCTTCCCTCCTCCTCCTCCCTCTCCTCCCCCTCCTCCTTCCTTCCCTTCTCCTCCAATCAAAATATGACAACAAAAGAAAAAGGACAGACTGTGACAGCCAAGAGAGGGTTACCTGAGTGCATTCCAGTGTGTAAAAGCAAGATTGCTGACGCAGCATGAAGAGTATGTGGTGAAAACAAAATATTGATAAAATACACACAGTAAAGGAAGGCTGGAGAGGGGGGTGAAGTGGGATGAGGTGGGATGAGGTGGGATGAAGTGGGATGAGGTGGGATTTAGGTGGGATGGGAAATGGGATGAGGTTGGGATGAGTGGGATGAAGGTGGGTGAGGTGGGATGAAGTGGGATGATTGGGATGAGGTGGATGAATTGGGGGATGAGGTGGGTGAAGGTGGGATGGGGTGGGATGAAGTGGGATGAGGTGGGATGGAAGGTGGGAGAGGTGGGGTGATGAAGTGGGATGAGGTGGGGAGGTGAATTGGGATGGGGTGGGATGGGGAAGTGGGGATGAAGTGGGTGAGGTGGGATGAAGTGGATGAGGTGGGATGAAGTGGGAGATGGGTGGGATGAATTGGGATGGGGTTTGGGGTGAATGAAGGGGGGATTGAAGTGGGATGAGATGGGATGAAGTGGGATGAGGTGGGAATGAGTGGGATGAGGTGGGATGAGGGGATGAAGTGGGATGAGGTGGGATGAAGTGGGATAGGTGGGGAGGGTGAGGTGGGATGGGGGTGGGATGAAGTGGGATGAAGGTGGGATGAGGTGGTATGGATGAAGTGGGATGAGGTGGGGGATGAGGGGGGATGAGGGGGATGAGGTGGGATGAAGTGGGATGAGGTGGGATTGGGAATTGGGGTGGGAAGTGGGGTGATGGGATGAGGGGGGCATGGAAGAGGGGGGATTGGAAGTGGGTGAGGTATTTGGGATGAGGTGGGATGGAAGGGTGGGATGAATGGGAGAGGTAGGATAATGGGAGAGGGATGAGGTGGGATGAGGTGGGATGAGGTGGGATGAGGTGGGATGAAGTGGGATGAGGTGGGATGAAGTGGGATGAGGTGGGATGAGGTGGGATGAAGTGGGATGAGGTGGGATGAAGTGGGATGAGGTGGGATGAGTGGGATGAGGTGGGATGAAGGGATGAGGTGGGATGAAGTGGGATGAGGTGGGATGAAGTGGGATTGAGGTTGGGATTAGGTGGGAGAGGTGGGATGAAGTCGAGAGGTGGGATGAAGTGGGGTGAGGTGGGATTAGGTGGGAGAAGGGGTAATGAAAGTGGGATGGGTGGGATGAGGTGGGATGGGAATGGGATGAATTGGGATGCAGGTAGGATGAAGTGGGATGAAGTGGGATGAGGTGGGATGAGGTGGGATGAGGTGGGAAAGATGAAGTGGGAGATGGGTGGGATGAGGTAGGATGGAAGTGGGATGAGGTGGGTGAGGGGATGAAGGGGGGATGGTGGAGGGAAAGGGTGGGAGATAAGGGGGGATGAGGTGGGAGGGGGAGGGTGGGATTTAGGTGGGATGAGGTGGGATGCGGGGTGGGTGGGATGAGGGGTGAGGTTGGGACTGGATGGGAGGAGGTGGGATGAGGGGATGAGGTGGGGATTGGGTGGGATGGGTGGGATAGGGGGGATTTAAGTGGGATGAGTGGGATTTTAAGTGGGTGAGGTGGGTGATGGGGTGAGGTGGGATGAAGTGGGATGAGGGGGGATGAAGTGGGATGAGTGGATAAGGTGGGATGGGAAGGTGGGATGAGGGTGGGAGGGGCGGTGGGAGGGGAAGGGTGACGGTTGGGGAGCTGAAGTGGGATGCAGGTGGGATGGGGGGAGGGGGCGAAGACCGGTGGATGAGGGGAGCATAAGGGTGGGGGTGGGTGGGGGAGGGGGGTGAGGTGGGATGAGGTGGGATGTTGGGATGAGGGGGGATGAGGGTGGGGTGAGGGTGGATGAGGTGGGAGAGGTGGGATAGGGGTGTGGGTGGGAGGTGGGATGAAGTGGGGATGAGGGGATGAGGTTGGGGAGAAAGGGGGGATGAGGTGGGATGAGTGGGATGAAATGGGATGGGGGTGGGATTGATTTGGGATGGGTGGGTGGGATGAGGTGGGGAGAGAGGCGGGTGGGGGTGGGATGAGGGTGGGGGGGCGAGAGGTGGGAGGGGATGAGGTGGGAGGGGGAGGGGGAGAGTGAGGTGGGATGAGGTGGGGAGAGGTGGGATGAGGTGGGATGAGGTGGGATGAAGTTGGATGAAGTGGTCTGAGGTGGGAATGAGGTGGGGATTGAAGGGATGAGGGGGGATGAAGTCGGATGAGGTGGGATGAAGTGGGATGAGGTGGGATGAAGTGGGATGAGGTGGATGAAGTGGGGATGAGGTGGGATGAATTGGGATGAGGTGGATGAGTGGAGAGTGGAATGAAGTGGGATGAGTGGGATGAAGTGGGATGAGGTGGGATAAGGTGGGATTGACGAGTGGGATGGATGGGATGAGGTGGGATGAAGTAGGATGAGCGGTGGGAGAAAGTGGGATGAGGTGGGATGAGGGTGGGATGAGGTGCTGAAGGGGATGAGGTGGGAGGATGGGTGGGAGGGATGAGGTGGGATGAGGTGGGAGAGAGGTGGGATGAGGTGGGATGAAGTGGGATGAAGTAGGATGAGGTAGGATGAAGTGGGATGAGGTTGGATGAGGTGGGAGAGAGGTGGGATGAGGTGGGATGAAGTGGGAGACAGAGGTGGGATGAGGTGGGAGAGAGGTGGGATGAGGTGGGATGAAGTGGGAGACAGAGGTGGGATGAGGTGGGATGAGGGGGGAGAGAGGTGGGATGAGGGAAGGACTCATCCACCACCAGCTGTCAACTGTCTTCTCCTTTGAAGTGTGCATTTTATCACCTGAGTTCTAGTATGTAGAGAACGTAAGGATATATACAAACCCAAAACAGTATACAGATGTAGGATCTTAATCTGAGTCAGTTTGCTGCAGCAGGAAAATAATCCTGCAGCAACAGGAAATTATTATAATAATTAATGTACTTATTATTATTATTTTAAATATTTTATAAACAATACAAAACATACACATACAAACGACAACATCATACAAACATCAACTACATCACACCTGCCCAGACCCACTAGCACACACCCCCATCTTCAGCACCCGCATCACTTTACTCCACATGGCCTTAAACTGCTCTCCGTAGCCCACACACTTTACATTCTTAGATAATAAAGCATCTAACCGTTCCATTGCATTAATGACGGAGGATTGGTTGATTTCCAGTTTTTAAGTATATGTTTTTTAAAGATGATAATGAATGGACTTTTGTAGGTGGTTTTGTAGGGGTTGATACGTTTTCGTAAGGGCCATTTCAAAGTGGAAATTACAAACTTCAGAAGCCTTTTCAAACCTCAAATACACTTCAAGTTAAAAATTAAGATCCTACATCTATAATTGCTCTTTTTATTGCATTTAGGTTAAACTATTGCTGTGAAAATGCAATGACTAACCAAGTCGGAGATATGTTGAGTGATGATTGATGAAGTCATACAGGGTGAAATAAGCTGGATATGACATAACAACGCAAAAAATAACAACAACAAAACAATATCTGAAAATCTACATCCCTAAAGACCTTGGGATGTGATAGTGTGTTTTTAAGGTACAGAATTCTGGATCATTGTCAGTGGCACAAATGCTGTGTGATGAGAAATAAATTACATCAAAACTAATTTGTGATCACTTTGAAAGAAAATGACCCCTTTGATATCTCCACAGTGTTGTGAATTACCTCTGCAGCTGAGCGATCTCTTGACTGATGTCATCAAGCTCCTTGATTCCAGTGAACTCTGACCCTGACCCCACAGAACTGGAGCTGTCCTGTGGATGGACAGAAAGAGAAAAAGAAGAAGAGAAAGAGAGAAGAGAGAGAAAGTTAGCCCTGTTCTTAGTTGACCTGAGAGAGAGCCAGAATGCCACGACACCAAACCATCCACACCAAACCAGAGGGTAGATAGAGAGAGAGAGATCACAGGGAAGGAAGCATCACAGAGGGACGGGCGACGGGACGAGTGCAACAATGTCTGAGGGGAGCCGGTCACCATCGCCATGGTCAGAAAACTCAGGAGGTCAAGTCACACCACCGTTCACAGTCACTGAGTTCTCACAAATGCTTTTCATCTCTTTGGGTTTCTGTCTCGTGAGTCATCGAAAGCATTTGTCGAGTTTTGCCAGTTACCTACCCAGAACTTGAACATTATTTGCTGACACAGAGATATAACCCAGAAAGCGGCATTCAGCAGCGTTTAGGTTAGGGTAAAGAAGAAAAGAGTGTTTGGTAAGCTCCTGGTTGGGTCTAAGCACTAGACTAGAGCAGGATAGCAGCAGTCAACACAGATAGGTTTTAAGCCTCCAAACACACAAAGCTCATCACAATTCCGAACCATTGCGATTCCAAACCACATAAATATTATTTCACACCAAATCAATCAATGAATAGTTATTGTCCATCAAGAGGATACTCTCTCCACAACTCAATACTGTAGTTACATAACACTCCCCGGCAAAATACCTATTTCTTATCAGAGGGTCATAGTCCCTCCCTCCACTCTTTTAAACCAAGCACCTGGAAGCAGGGCCATGGAAAATGCTAACACAATTTTCAAAAAGCAAAATATGGGAGGACATCACTCACCCGCCTCATCTCAGACAGAGCAGCCATCTCAGAGCTCACAGGGGTCACATACCCAGACATACTCTGTGGATAGAGACAAGGGATGAAGACTTACTACTGGACACAAGAATGATTCCTAGCCAAGAGACACATTGAGTGTCAATCCCAGAAATGAATACAGGATTATATATATTTTTAACTGTGTCATATGTCTAAAATTGTATAAACATAAAGAAAAAAAGAAAGAAAGAAAGAAAGAAAGAAAGTCGCACACTCTATATATGCCCCCAACAATTTAATGGGTAAACCTAATAACATTTTTCTCAAAGTGTAAATACAAGTACTTTAAGCATGTCTCTGCACCAAAATAGGTTGCTTTCAATAAAACGTACCATTAAGGTGTAGAGCAGTGGTCACCAACCGGTCGTGATCGACTGGTGGATCTCCAAGCCATTCCTAGTCGATCACCAAACATTTCTGTTAAAAACCCAACAATAAAGTCTTATGTTCCTATTTTTTGTATTCGTTTCATGCTGTTGGCGGTAGGTGCACTTGATTCAGCAGCCCTAGCGCCGGGAAGGCAAAGTGTTCCCATTATGAACCATTTAATGTGTCTGAAGGTAGAACTCCGCCAACCCGGCAGGCCTAGTGAGCAAATGAAGTGCACCTACAGTGAGGGAAAAAAGTATTTGATCCCCTGCTGATTTTGTACGTTTGCCCACTGACAAAGACATGATCAGTCTATAATTTTACAAACAACAAAAAAATCCAGAAAAACGCATGTCAAAAATGTTATGAATTAATTTGCATTTTAATGAGGGAAATAAGTATTTGACCCCTCTGCAAAACATGACTTAGTACTTGGTGGCAAAACCCTTGTTGGCAATCACACAGGTCAGACGTTTCTTGTAGTTGGCCACCAGGTTTGCACACATCTCAGGAGGGATTTTGTCCCACTCCACTTTGCAGATCTTTACCAAGTCATTAAGGTTTCGAGGCTGATGTTTGGCAACTCAAACTTTCAGCTCCCTCCACAGATTTTCTATGGGATTAAGGTCTGGAGACTGGCGAGGCCACTCCAGGATCTTAATGTGCTTCTTCTTGAGCCACTCCTTTGTTGCCTTGGCCGTGTGTTTTGGGTCATTGTCATGCTGGAATACCCATCCACGACCCATTTTCAATGCCCTGGCATTGGGAGGTTCTCACCCAAGATTTGACGGTACATGGCCCCGTCCATCGTCCCTTTGATGCGGTGAAGTTGTCCTGTCCCCTTAGCAGAAAAACACCCCCAAAGCATAATGTTTCCACCTCCATGTTTGACGGTGGGGATGGTGTTCTTGGGGTCATAGGCAGCATTCCTCCTCCTCCAAACACGGCGAGTTGAGTTGATGGCAAAGAGATCGATTTTGGTCTCATCTGACCACAAATTTCACCCAGTTCTCCTCTGAATCATTCAGATGTTCATTGGCAAACTTCAGACGGGCCTGTATATGTGCTTTCTTGAGCAGGGGGACCTTGCGGGCGCTGCAGGATTTCAGTCCTTCATGGCGTAGTGTGTTACCAATTGTTTTCTTGGTGACTATGGTCCCAGCTGCCTTGAGATCATTGACAAGATCCTCCTGTGTAGTTCTGGGCTGATTCCTCACCGTTCTCATGATCATTGCAACTCCACGAGGTGAGATCTTGCATGGAGCCCCAGGCCGAGGGAGATTGACAGTTATTTTGTGTTTCTTCCATTTGCGAATAACCACACCAACTGTTGTCACCTTCTCACCAAGCTGCTTGGCGATGGTCTTGTAGCCCATTCCAGCCTTGTGTAGGTCTACAATCTTGTCCCTGACATCCTTGGAGAGCTCTTTGGTCTTGGCCATGGTGGAGAGTTTGGAATCTGATTGATTGATTGCTTCTGTGGACAGGTGTCTTTTATACAGGTAACACGCTGAGATTAGGAGCACTCCCTTTAAGAGTGTGCTCCTAATCTCAGCTCGTTACCTGTATAAAAGAAAACTGGGAGCCAGAAATCTTTCTGATTGAGAGGGGGTCAAATACTTATTTCCCTCATTAAAATGCAAATCAATTTATAACATTTTTGACAAGCGTTTTTCTGTTGTTTTTTTTTGTTATTCTGTCTCTCACTGTTCAAATAAACCTACCATTAAAATTATAGACTGATCATGTCTTTGTCAGTGGGCAAACGTACAAAATCAGCAGGGGATCAAATACTTTTTTCCCTCACTGTATAGGCCTACTGCTGGCCAATCAGATAGCTCAGACCACCATGTCTGCACAGTTTCCTCGCGCCATAGACTTTAAAAAGAAGCCTCGAACGCACAGCAAAGTTGATCATGTGAGATTTCAAAACTTTTAAAACCATGACTAGAGAGAGACTCAACAAATACAGCAAAGAGCTGCTGTTTTTATGAGTTAATGTTTAAGTTGTTATTCAGCACTGTCAACACTTTGTTCAACACTTTTATAAGCCATAAAATGTGCGTTCTCCCTACTTCCACTCACGCTACAACCAGCACTGCAGCTGCAATGAATGACTATAGCAAAGTGTTTCGAAAAGCTTGAGTTGTTATTTGAGGCTGGTGTCTTTTTTAATATCGAGGAATATTTCACTTTCTCTGGTCATAGGAGTAACAACATTAATTGGTGCATGAGGCAGAAATAATGCAGTGCGACTTAAGTTTTGCCATCAGCTGGAAGACTGTGTCCCCTTTTCTCAGCGGAGGGAGGGAGAGAGGAGGGACGGTAAGTCGGGTGAGAGGCAGCCTCACAGCTGCTCCCTCCATCCCCTCAAACTGACCATCAGATGCAGGCCATCAGTCCAGTAAAAAAATAGGCTAATTATTATGCTCACTCAGCTGTGCCTCACAAGTAATACAACAAATTATCTATTACAGGTGTGATCATATACCTAAAATGTTGAAACATATTTTCAATATGTCAGGGCAATTCAAGCATAGTGATCATGTATTGGGCCTAAAGCCTACTGCAGAAACTTAACTGCTACAAAACTGTTTTTAATTGGTTAATGTTGCATATGCTTACTTTTTTAAAGTCATGTTTAAAAACAAATCTGAGCGGTAGATCTCGGCTTGCATTTTGACTCAGAAAGTGATCTTGACTCAGAAAAGGTTGGTGACCACTGGTGTAAAAAAAAATTTTAAAATGTGTAGAGTGTTCGATTTGCCTGCTGGGGGGCAAGGAGACCCACAGCACCGCTAAAACCATTGACAACTGTGTGCCATTTTCAATGGATTGTTAAATAAATGTTAACTATTTGGTTGTAATATCATCACCTCTTGAAGAGCATAGTCAGACCTACACATTTCCGATTACTCCATGCAAAACAATTGCGCACATTTAGCTCTATCATCAGAGTTATACAGCAAGTAACTGCATGCTTTTCATGATCAGTAAACATCAATGATCATGTAATTTCAGATACATAGGGTAGCCTCACCATTAATTTGATATTTGAGTGATATAATTAAAGTGAACTATACCTTACAAGTATGAGTGGTTTAGGTTAATGTCCCATCTTTTGTGGGCTCTGCCTGTCAAGTAGCGGAAGGGCGCATTTGCCATGGTACTGTTAGCTGATAATGTTTACTTTGCAAGCTACCGCTAGAAACTTTGTACAGTTGGCTAAACATATAGTGGTAAGTAGACCTAATGTACTTTTTTCTCCAGCCGATGTAGGCCTACCTAGCGAAGTTAGCTAACATTATCACCTTTTCAACATTGTTTTTAAGAGTGTTTAATTACAATTGCTGCTGACAGACATGATATAGGCTACATAGATTGATGGACCACGTCAAATTGGATAGCTAGCTAATAACAGATCACGTCAATATGGCTAGTTAACGAGCTAACTTTCAGGGGATAAAATAGATGGCTATATCCAAATATTGTTTGATTTGCTTGCCATCTGTAGTGGTGATGACAGAAGTCCAACTGACAACTTTACCAGGACGAGGACTTGCCAATGTCAAGCTCTTTTCAAAAGCCTAATCTCGGATGAAGCAAGCTATATGTTGTTGTTTGCTTAGCTAGCCACATGCCAAATTGATAAATTACATTATCATTGATGTTTACTGATCATGAAAAGCATGCAGTTACTTGCTGTATGACTCTGATGATAGCAATTATTTTGCATGGAATAATCTGAAATGTGTAGTTCTGACTATGCTCAATAGGTGATGATATTAAAACCAAATAGTTATACCATTTATTTAACAATCCCTTGACCCCCAACAGCCAAATAAAATGTATTGTGACGCTTTATTGAAAACGACCTATAGAAAGCGTGTGTATGTGTGGTGCATTAATGCGTACATGGGAGGGAGTGGTACACACTGGAACGGGAGTGCCCCTCTCTGAAGGGGGGATCATGTCAGGGGTCAGGGCCTGAGGAGGGTCCATGCCTTTGCTGACTTTCTGCTGGATGAAGTGCATGGCCAGAGCAAACTGCTCCCGCGTCAGCTTCCCCATCTGCCTGGTGTCTGCCAGGGCCCTGGACACACAATAATAACAACATGAGTAATACAGTCAACTTCAGTCCGGTAATCAGGTGGCATCAGCCAGCCAGTCATCAGTCAGTCTCTCCTACCATATATGTGCCAGTAGGTTCTGCGGCAGCCCTGAGTGCATGAAGATGTCCTTGACTTCCATACCGCTGACAAAGCCATCCAGATCCAAGTCTGTCTTCAGGAAGATTTCATCAAAGCGCCCTCTGTCTGTCACCGGGACTACCCAGTTCACTGAGTGCTGGCAGAGATGAGATTACACACAAATCTCACGTTAAACGTTTTTGTGTGCGTGTGTGTGTGTTTACAGGTAGCTTAGTGGGTAAGAGCGTTGTGCCAGTAAACGAAAAGGACGCTGGTTCTAATCCTCGAGCCGACTAGGTGAAAAATCTGTCGATGTGCCCTTAAGCAAGGCACTTACAGTGGGGGAAAAAAGTATTTAGTCAGCCACCAATTGTGCAAGTTCTCCACTTAAAAAGATGAGAGAGGCCTGTAATTTTCATCATAGCTACACGTCAACTATGACAGACAAAATGAGAAAAAAAAATCCAGAAAATCACATTGTAGGATTTTTTATGAATTTATTTGCATATTATGGTGGAAAATAAGTATTTGGTCAATAACAATGTTTCTCAATACTTTGTTATATACCCTTTGTTGGCAATGACACAGGTCAAACGTTTTCTGTAAGTCTTCAAAAGGTTTTCACACACTGTTGCTGGTATTTTGGCCCATTCCTCCATGCAGATCTCCTCTAGAGCAGTGATGTTTTGGGGCTGTCGCTGGGCAACACAGACTTTCAACTCCCTCCAAAGATTTTCTATGGGGTTGAGATCTGGAGACTGGCTAGGCCACTGCAGGACCTTGAAATGCTTCTTACGAAGCCACTCCTTCGTTGCCCGGGCGGTGTGTTTGGGATCATTGTCATGCTGAAAGACCCAGCCACGTTTCATCTTCAATGCCCTTGCTGATGGAAGGAGGTTTTCACTCAAAATCTCACGATACATGGCCCCATTCATTCTTTCCTTTACACGGATCAGTCGTCCTGGTCCCTTTGCAGAAAAACAGCCCCAAAGCATGATGTTTCCACCCCCATGCTTCACAGTAGGTATGGTGTTATTTGGATGCAACTCAGCATTCTTTGTCCTCCAAACACGACGAGTTGAGTTTTTACCAAAAAGTTATATTTTGGTTTCATCTGACCATATGACATTCTCCCAATCCTCTTCTGGATCATCCAAATGCACTCTTCAGACGGGCCTGGACATGTACTGGCTTAAGCAGGGGGACACGTCTGGCACTGCAGGATTTGAGTCCCTGGCGGCGTAGTGTGTTACTGATGGTAGGCTTTGTTACTTTGGTCCCAGCTCTCTGCAGGTCATTCACTAGGTCCCCCCATGTGGTTCTGGGATTTTTGCTCACCGTTCTTGTGATCATTTTGACCCCACGGAGTGAGATCTTGCGTGGAGCCCCAGATCAAGGGAGATTATCAGTGGTCTTGTATGTCTTCCATTTCCTAATAATTGCTCCCACAGTTGATTTCTTCAAACCAAGCTGCTTACCTATTGCAGATTCAGTCTTCCCAGCCTGGTGCAGGTCTACAATTTTGTTTCTGGTGTCCTTTGACAGCTCTTTGGTCTTGGCCATAGTGGAGTTTGGAGTGTGACTGTTTGAGGTTGTGGACAGGTGTCTTTTATACTGATAACAAGTTCAAACAGGTGCCATTAATACAGGTAACGAGTGGAGGACAGAGGAGCCTCTTAAAGAAGAAGTTACAGGTCTGTGAGAGCCAGAAATCTTGCTTGTTTGTAGGTGACCAAATACTTATTTTCCACCATAATTTGCAAATAAATTCATTAAAAATCCTACAATGTGATTTTCTGGATTTTTTCTCCTCAATTTGTCTGTCATAGTTGACGTGTACCTATGATGAAAATTACAGGCCTCTCTCATCTTTTTAAGTGGGAGAACTTGCACAATTGGTGGCTGACTAAATACTTTTTTCCCCCACTGTAACCCTAATTGCTCCTGTAAGTGGCTCTGGATAAGAGTGTCTGCTAAATGACTAAAATGTAAATAAAAAAAATGTAAATGTAAAAATTTTACCTGTGCAGATTTGAGTGTGTGTTTGGGGGAGAGGCTGCCAGCACTGTTGAGGGAGTTCATGCTGCCGTGGGAAGGGGTGGAGCGCAGGCTGTCCTTGGGGGGCGGGGGGCTGGCAGGCAGCACAGGCACTGTGCCAGAGTGGGAGCCTACCAGAGACTTCTTCCTCTTGTTAGGAGGGATGAGAGAGGAGGGGAGAACAGAGGGGACCGGCTCCTTCTCCAGGGCCCGATAGACCAGGTGCATGGCCTGGAGAACAGAGGGGAAAGAACGAAGAGGACTGAAGTTATTACTAGTCATTACAAATGCTATAACAAGTAGGCCTTATTACCAATATTATTAGACAGTTATTGTGTCAGTTATAATCTTATACACATGTGAAGGTGAGCTGTGAAATATTTGTTTACTCAGATCTAGTCATTCCACAATTTACTGGAGTACACCTTACCACTGCAAACTCATCTCGATCCAGATGTCCATCTTTATCAATGTCACTAAGATCCCAAACTTTACCTAACACGTCCAGAGGTAGTTTTGAGTTGATTAGAACTGGTTTTACTTTGTCACCAGAGAGCAGTCCACTGACAGGTGCAAGACTTTCAAATATCCCATCGAATTTACCCTTTTCTTCGGGCTGGAATAGAAAATGAAAAAAAAGAACAATGAGCGATTGATAAGCAAAGGTAAACTCATTGGTTGATGATTCTCTGAATTATGTTCAGTGTTTTGGATGATAAAATAAAATGTTTGTAATATACAAACAAAAACATTTCAGTATCCTCTTATCAACCAAACATATGGTCCTGGGGTGTTTCAACATGACTCACCCTCACAGCCCAGTGGGGTTCACTAGAGACTGATGATGTGCTGAGCGATGGGCTGCTAGTGTCCTTCTATAACAAAACAACCAAAAAACAACCTTCAACTTTCACGCCTACTTTACAATCTCCCAACCAAACATATAAACATATAGAGTTTGAGAAAATAAACGCATCATAAAACTATCATGAAACCTGTGTGTAGTTAGGAAGGTACTAGTTATGATTGTACTAGTTAGGATTGTACTAGTTAGGAAGGTACTAGTTAGGATTGTACAGTCGTGGTCAAAAGTTTTGAGAATGTCACAAATACTAATTTTCACAAAGTCTGCTGCCTCAGTTTTGATGATGGCAATTTGCAAATACTCCAGAATGTCATGAAGAGTGATCAGATGAATTGCAATTAATTGCAAAGTCCCTCTTTGCCATGAAAATTAACTTAATCCCCAAAAAACATTTCCACTGCATTTCAGCCCTGCCACAAAAGGACCAGCTGCCGTCATGTCAGTGATTATCTCGTTAACACAGGTGAAAGTGTTGACGAGGACAAGGCTGGAGATCACTCTGTCATGCTGATTGAGTTAGAATAACAGACCGGAAGCTTTAAAAGGAGGGTGCTTAAAATCATTGTTCTTCCTCTGTTAACCATGGTTACCTGCAAGGAAACACGTGCCGTCATCATTGCTTTGCACAAAAAGGGCTTCACAGGCAAGGATATTGCTGCTAGTAAGATTGCACCTAAATCAACCATTTATCGGATCATCAAGAACTTCAAGGAGAGAGGTTCAATTGTTGTGAAGAAGGCGTCAGGGCGCCCAAGAAAGTCCAGCAAGCGCCAGGACCGTCTCCTAAAGTTGATTCAGCTGCGGGATCGGGGCACCACCAGTGCAGAGCTTGCTCAGGAATGGCAGCAGGCAGGTGTGAGTGCATCTGCACGCACAGTGAGGCGAATACTTTTGGAGGATGGCCTGGTGTAAAGAAGGGCAGCAAAGAAGCTACTTCTCTCCAGGAAAAACATCAGGGACAGACTGATATTCTGCAAAAGGTACAGGGATTGGACTGCTGAGGACTGGGGTAAAGTCATTTTCTCTGATGAATCCCCTTTCCGATTGTTTGGGGCATCCGGAAAACACAAGGTGAGCGCTACCATCAGTCCTGTGTCATGCCAACAGTAAAGCATCCTGAGACCATTCATGTGTGGGGTTGCTTCTCAGCCAAGGGAGTGGGCTCACTCACAATTTTAAAGAATAAAGAATGGTACCAACACATCCTCCGAGAGCAACTTCTCCCAACCATCCAAGAACAGTTTGGTGACGACCAATGCCTTTTCCAGCATGATGGAGCACCTTGCCATAAGGCAAAAGTGATAACTAAGTGGCTCGGGGAACAAAACATCGACATTTTGGGTCCATGGCCAGGAAACTCCCCAGACCTTAATCCCATTGAGAACTTGTGGTCGATCCTCAAGAGGCGGGTGGACAAACAAAAACCCACAAATTCGGACAAACTCCAAGCATTGATTATGCAAGAATGGGCTGCCATCAGTCAGGATGTGGCCCAGAAGTTAATTGACAGCATGCCAGGGCGGATTGCAGAGGTCTTGAAAAGAAGGGTCAACACTGCAAATATTGACTCTTTGCATAAACGTTAATGTAATTGTCAATAAAAGCTTTTGACATTCATGGAATGCTTGTAATTATAATTCAGTATACCATAGTAACATCTGACAAAAATATCTCATAACACTGAAGCAGCAAACTTTGTGAAGACCAATACTTGTGTCATTCTCAAAACTTTTGACCACGACTGTACTAGTTAGGATTGTACTAGTTAGGATTGTACTCACAAATTTTGGGGGAGGGATAGTGAGGTTCAGACTGGTGAGGCTGACGTCTTGTCCACTCTGTGCACAGGCCACCAACCGCAGAGCTACATAGAACCCCTATTAGACAAGACAGGACAACAGCATTGTTTATGGGTACCATACAAATTCCAGCTCAATTGCCCTCAAGGGCCACAGAATCAAAGGCATTGCACAAAGCGAAGAAATGATTAGTTCTCTACCTGTTTGTCCAAGAACCCTTTCCCATCTGGGTCTGCCAAATCCCAGATCTGAGGGGAGACAAACACAAACAAGATGATTAACTAAGGAAACATCAATTAAAGCATCAATGTGCAACAATCTTTATGGAATGTGTACAAAGTAAAGTAAATAACAATCAATCTGCATAAAAGTCCCAGATACCCAGCTGAATGTGATGGTGAGATAGAATAGGCTAAGATTCAAAGCAGAGTATGACATAAACAGACCAAGGTAACAAGTAATACAAAAGATGGGTACAAACGGTACACAAATATAGCTGAAACAAGTACACAACCTAAAGGTTCTGATAAATTGAAAGGAAAAACATAGATCCAATCAGACCAGGCAATGACATAAGATGTGGTCATCTTTTCCAGTTATATTCCTCTGGGGGTACTGAAGCCCACGTGTATGTAGGTGCTCGTATTACTCCTCGATGACAGAGACACTCTAATAAACATAACTTCCTGCTGGTTGCTTTCAGAACAGTTTATCCGTCTACAGTGTCAGAGACTGTTCCCTTGGGTTTGCCACTCTGCCCAAGGCTTTCAGTGGCCGGCAGTGCTACACAGTACCAATGCTACCCACCTTTCCCAAGGTGACATCAGGAAGGCCAGATTTCTTTAGGAACAACGCAGCTTCCGTGGGCCCTACTCTCCCCGTGTTTCCTGGGTCCACCTTGCAACAAGCACACAGCAAACCAAATTATTACATGTTTCTATCCACACCTCCACTCTATACTGTTGAATGTGTTTAGTGTTGTCTTAACGCATCCATTGAACAATTAAAGAAGTTGAATTCACCCCAATCTATGTAGATAATAGGACTATGTAATAACCAAACTATAAAATGTGTTTTACCTGTCTATAAAAGTTCTCGTACACAGGGTTCCCACTTGACAGCTGATTGGGGAAAGGTTTTTCAGATTACTCATAGCATTTCAAATAGCTGCTGGAAACCATTGTCTTACGTCAAATAGCGTGACACACCCCACCAAACTACTACTGACATCTGGACCCATCCTTTAAAAAGCCACTTAAGGGTCTATCACAACCAATAGCCAGAGAGGAATTTCCTATCCAATGACATCAAATATGAACGTCCTCTAATAGGCCATAGCCAAGTTGTTGAGTACCTTTTTGAACTCTTTAAACTTAAAGCATTGTGTGAATTGTAAGATGGAAAAATGGGTTATAAATGCATGTTCTCAAATAACACTAAAATCCTATCTTTGTCATGTTTTAATGAAATAACTAGAATCATCATGTAGCCTAGCCAATGTGATTGACCCAAAACTGGTCCTCTCTGCAATGACTCCTGGTGCAAGCTCTGAGATTGAGAAGATGAGATTGCCAAATTTGGCTGAAACAACACAAAGCTAACTACAAGTTTAGGACAATACATTGAGGCATCTTACTTAAACAGCAAAACAGCCAATGCAAAGTAGCCAGCATCGAAATAAGCACACAAGCTGGTCAGTCATCATTCATCACATCTAGCTAGCTGCCGGCATTACGGTATCACTACTCACTTCATAGCTATCCCAGTGTAGCACAGTGTATTAATATATATATATATATTATATATATAAATTAATACACTGTTATTACAGTAACTGTTCGTGTTAGCTACAGTGTTATTACAATGATACTGTTATAATAGTCAGATCGTTTAGCTTGCTAGCTAGTATTGTTTAGATGGCAAGCTAGCTAAGCTTAGCTAGCTAACTATATATAGCTATAGCTAGCTGGCTAGCTAGCTCGCTATATCTAAATAACGTTGAAATAGGTTGGTATTTTTTGGTTGCATACCTCTTGCGCTTCTGTCTTATATGTAAATCTAAATATTTATGAAATATATCTCCACATATCTTTCCTCAAACGACCATTAACGTTAGCTAGATTGTTCATTTTGCAAGCAATCTAACGGTAGCTAGCCCACTAGCCAGGCTAGCTAGCTAGCTTTCTAACGGTACTCTGCAAGCTTACTGATAAGGCCTTGTCCCATCCAGCTAGCAAGCTAAATACCCTCGGTATTTGTCTTCTTTCTTATACAAATTGGATCAAGAGCACACCACTAAAAACTGCAGGTCATCAGCATGCACAACAGCTTGACTGAATGTCCACTGCATAATATTGAATACATTCCTGTAACATTACCTGGGTGAGAGATGTGAGAGCTGCCATCTTCCCTGTTGCTGCGGGAACGCACACACCCTCCAGCTCGTAGACAACACCAACTCCTAGTGGACAAGCTTGTGCATGGCACTTACGATTGAAATGATTGACATGATGGTAGTCTCTTTCAAACGTGTGTAAAATGTCATATTGTTTCAAGCAGTGATGTAAAGTACTTAAGTATAAATACTTTAAAGTACCACTTAAGTAGTTTTTTAGGGTATCTGTATTTTACTTTACTATTTTAATTTTTGACAACTTTTACTTTTACTTCACTACATTCCTAAAGAAAATAATGTACTTTTTAATTGATATTCCTTGACACCCAAAAGTACTCTTTACATTTTGAATGCTTAGCAGGTCAGGAAAATTGTCTAATTTACACACTTATAAAGAGAACATCCCTAGTTATCCCTACTGCCTCTGATCTGGCAGATTCACTAAACACACATGCTTTGTTTGTAAATAATGTCTGAGTGTTGGAGTGTGCCCGGCTATCCGTAAATAAAAGAAAACAAGAAAATGGTGCTGTCTAGTTTGCTTAAAATAAGGAATTTGAAATGATTGATACTTTTACTTTTGATACTTAAGTATATTTTAGCAATTACATTTACTTTTGATACTTACAGCGCATTCGGAAAGTATTCAGACCCCTTGACTTTTTCCACATTTTGTTACGTTACAGCCTTAGTCTAAAATTGATTTTTTTTTAATGTTCCTCATCAATCTACACACAATACCCCATAATGACAAAGAAAAAACAGGTTTTTAGACATTTTTGCAAATGTATTAAAAATAAAAAACGGAAATATTACGTTTACATAAATATTCAGACCCTTTACTCAGTACTTTCTTGAAGCACCTTTGGCAGCGATTACAGCCTCAAGTCTTCTTGGGTATGACGCTACAAGCTTGGCACACCTGTATTTGGGGAGCTTCTCCCATTCCTCTTTGCAGATCCTCTCAAGCTCTGTCATGTTGGATGGGGAGCGTCACTGCACAGCTATTTTCAGTTCTCTCGAGAGATGTTTGATTGGGTTCAAGTCCGGACTCTGGCTGGGCCACTCAGGGACATTTAGAGACTTGTCCCGAAGCCACTGTTGCGTTGTCTTGGCTGTGTGCTTAGGGTCATTGTCCTGTTGGAAGTTGAACCTTCGCCCCAGTCTGAGGTCCTAAGCACTCTGGAGCAGGTTTTCATCAAGGATCTCTCTGTACTTTGCTCCGTTCATCTTTCCCTCGATCCTGACTAGATTCCCAGTCCCTGCCGCTGAAATACATCCCCACAGCATTATGCTGCTACCACCATGCGTCACCATAGGGATGGTGCCATGTTTCCTCCAGTCGTGATGATTGGTATTCAGGCCAAAGAGTTCAAGCTTGGTTTCATCAGACCAGAGAATCTTATTTCTCATCGTCTGAGAGTCCTTAAGCACTTCCAGAATTTCACTTCACTTTTCACACCTTTCATAAGATGGCTGTTTGATTATGATAGGCAATATAAATCCTACGGCTCTCATCTATAAATAATTAAAAGACACAACCATGGACCTTTAAAAAAGCTGTACACAACTTTGCACAAACAAACAATTAATCTTCAACAAAATGAGACTAACCACAAGGCATGGAAGAGTAATTACATGGATAAAAAAAAAACATACAGCATTATTTATTTTGACATGCTACATTAAGGATTAGGGGCAATCAAAACACACAAGAAAGTGTTCAGGGAGAACAGAATCAGGTGTGCATAACAGGCTTATTAAATAATAATAATAATAATAACAATAACAGTAATAGGGACATGACTCAATTGATATTCAGCTCGAACTAATGATCAAATCAAATTAAAACATAGATGAAAACTCTCTTAGTAAATAGTGTGGTCAACAGCTTATCATGAGAACTAGCCTTCAAGTGTTGAGCAAGGATATAAAAAAAAAAACTATGTGGCTCAAACATTTAGTGCAGTCATTTGGTACCTTACAGTGAAACTACACTGGGACACATCTGGAACCAAATCCAGGATTACCCATCATGTCTCATTTTACAGTGTTATCACATTTCAATATGATGACACTTATCAATAACAGAACCTCCTTTTTTACATAAACCATGATACATAAAAAATAGAAACATTCATTCTGTAAAAGTCAAATAAAGTGCCAAAGTAACTCTCCAACATTGATATGACATTTCATTTGCTAAATATCTGAGTTACCTTTATATGAAAAAACAAACAATACATTTGAGTTCCATGGCCATTTTGCTGGTTTTGTCACTTTATCACGGGAAACTCTAGTATATTCTCCCAGGATATGAGGCATCACATAGCAAAAGCAAATCAATGTATGTTTGGGGTTTCCTTTGAGAGAGGTTGAAAAGCAATATATGGTGAGGCAAACTTCCACTGTAACTCTATGGATGGACACAGCACAAGCAGCAGTAATAGCAGCAGTGAGCGAGAGAGCCCACTGAGAGCTAACTCACCCAGAGAGAATGGAGAAGGCATAGCTTACAGTAACTACACATCACGTCTTTGTCCAATGAAAAGTCACTTTTGGTAACCTTTTCCACTCCCTCCTTTCAAAGTACATTTTGTAGCACTATCACTCGTTCTCTAGCCCTCCATTCTTCCCCTTCACGCTGACGCATGCACATTCACTAGTCATCAAATGTTTGTTGGAGCAGGAAATTAGCAGCTAAATTCTCGTTCTTCTCACATGCGAAATATGCTTGAATGACAAGTCCCTCTGGAAATCCCAAGGCTTTTAACTGTAATGAAAACACATAGGCAACTGTCAGCTCGGAAACACATAACCAATGACACAGGGAGCTTCCCATTGAGAAAGTGATATAAATGAGTTCAACGTTAATTATTAACCATAAATACTCATACCCTCTCGATGGCCTCCTTCTCTTGTGGGGTGACCTGGATGTAGTTAGTCTGTGGCGCCCCCTGGGCCTCAACTCCCTCCTCTACCATCTCTCCTCCTTGGGGCTCGTTCAGCATCTGCACAAACCGCTCCTGGTGCTGGGTAATTTGCTGCAAAGAAAGAACATCTTCGTATAAACCCTTACGAATACAAATATGATTTCCTTTTTAGTAGGCTAAGTCAAAACAGAATCTAAAGGGCAGAATATTTCCAACCCCATAAGACCAGATTGGGTCTGGAAAGCCAAGCTGATGAGCATGGCTACGAGGATGGAAAGAGACTGCATGCAGTCACTGGGATGTCCAGTCTCCCCACTGACCTGCAGCAGCTGGGGGTTGTCTCTGCCTAGCTGCTGGAGCAGGGCAGGAAGGAGAGCTGGGTTCTGCTGGATGACCTGTCTCATCTGCTGGAACTGTGGCTGGTTCCTCAGAAACTCCAGGGGGTTCCCACCCCCAGTACCTCCACCAGTACCACCAGTAAGCCCACCAGTCAGCACACCAGATGAGGGGGGCTGCTGGGTTGAAGACACTGCGCCTGCTGCAAAACAAGAATGAATGGACAGAGAGTTCAAAGACTTCTATGAAACACAGTGCTGAGCTGACATTGTGTGTCCAGAGAAATTATTGGTTGGTATGAGAGCCACATGGGCCTGGTAAAAGAACAAGAGTAGAGTGGGGTGGTGGTCTCACTCGTGGCTGCTGGTGGTGGCTGGGCTCTATCTGAGGCTGGAGCAGGGGCTGGGGCAGGAGCTGGGGCAGTGGGGTTGAGGTTGGCCAGAGCTGTGGGTAGGAACGCCTCCGGTGGCAGAAGGTCAGCCTCGGCCGGAATCCCCTGGATGACGTAGAGAGAATAATTTTTGATGCCTCAGGATAATTAAATAATAATAATGAAGTGCATTTATATTGCTCTATTCTAAGTGCTCAGTGCTTTGCATTGTAAGGGAGACAGATGGATAAACACACAATGAACTGTATACAGCTTTGGGACAGAAAATTTAAAAACAATTCTGTGTGCATACTGCTGTCAGATTGTCAGTAGAGTCTGGCACTGAGCCTTCGGATGGAAAAGAGTGTGGTGGAACCTTGGAATTAGCTCCACTGCTTCCAGGTAATAATACACTAATCTACCATTAAATCACTGATAGGATGGAAACTCACCATTAGCAGGTACTCCACAGCTCTGTCTGGGTTGTTGTAACTGGCTCGCAGCGCTGCAACAACCTGCTCCATTTCATATCCCATAGACATTATTTTAGACACCAGATTATCATATGCCTGTCCTGTCACTGTCTCGTGAAGAGAGGGGAAAAGGATAGAGGGTCATAAATCAATGGGAAGATGAAACATGATATTGTGATGAGAAAGATTAGACTAGTCTCTTCATTACCCAGTATTGATGCTGCTTCTTCCAGGAGACTTAAGTCATCAACAAGGCTGTGAGAGAAGAAAAAAAACATTGATCAAAACAGACACATTTATGAACTAAAACATGTTTGCCATCCAAATCTTTAAATGATCTAAGATCAAAAATATTGTATCATTAGTTAATACCTGGAGGAGGAGAGGGCTGGTGGTGTGGCAAAGGGCTGTTCAGGGTGCTCCCCCTGAGGCTTGTCCTCTGAGATGGAGGATGCTGCTGTGGCTGGAGCTGGGGCTGCACTGGCCCGAAGGGCTTCTTGGGGAATAGAAGCAGGGGCTGGTGCAGGGGCAGGGGGTGTGAAGGACTCCACTGATTGTGTGGGGTTTGAGGCAGGGGCAGGTGTGGGTGTAGGGGACAGGGTGGAGATTTCCATGGGGGCAGGGGAGGAGGTAGGTCGGGCAATGTCAGAGAGGGACAGCCCAGAAACAGCAGGAGGTGCAGGGTCAGGGGTAGAGGCTGGGGCTGGGGCTGGGGCTGCCTGAGGAGAAATCTGTGGAGTAGCTGGAGGTTTGGGCTGTAGGGAGACAACAAACAAGACTGCCCAGAGATGACCACAGTGACTACAGACAACTACCTCATCTTTAGATATCAATCAATAAGATATTTCTACAAATACAAATGACAAACTCCTACTTCCACTGTCATTAACACTGTAGTGACAGTATTATTAGCACATAAATGATTATCTTGTAAGTCCTTTGTTAAAGTTGACTATCAATTAATCAATAAAATAATAAACTCGTATAATATCCTCACATACGAATGCTTACCAAATAATCCATTAAAACAGTGTTGAAATCTTACCTTTGTAACCATGACCACCAGAAAGTTTTTCTCATCAATTCTGTAGTATTTTAAAGGTATGTCATCATTCAATATTTTGCCTATAAAAACACAACAAGAAGAACCTGCTCAATTACACTGAACAAAAATATAAACGCAACATGCATGCAAAGATTTTACTGAGTTACAGTTCAGATTCAGATATAGCCCCTGGTTCTCCTCAGACTTGACTGCCCTTGACCAGCACAAAAACATCCTGTGGCGTACTGCATTAGCATCAAATAGCCCCCGCGATATGCAACTTTTCAGGGAAGTTAGGAAACAATATACACAAGCAGTTAGGAAAGCAAAGGCTAACTTTTTCAAACAGAAATTTGCATCCTGTAGCACTAACTCCAAAAAGTTATGGGACACTGTAAAGTCCATGGAAAATAAGAGCACTTCCTCCCAGCTGCCCACTGCACTGAGGCTAGGAAACACTATCACCACCAATAAATCTACAATAATCGAGAATTTCAACAAGCATTTTGCTATGGCTGGCCATGCTTTCCACCTGGCTACCACTACCCCGGCCACCAGCTCTGCACCCTCCGCTGCAACTTGCCCATGCCCCCCCCCCCCGCTTCTCCTTCACACAAATCCAGACAGCTGATGTTCTGAAAGAGCTGCAAAATCTGGACCCCTACAAATCATCTGGGCTAGACAATCTGGACCCTTTCTTTCTAAAACTAGCCGCCGAAATTGTCGCAACCCCTATTACTAACCTGTTCAACCTCTCTTTCGTAACGTCTGAGATCCCCAGAGATTGGAAAGCTGCCGCGGTCATCCCCCTCTTCAAAGGGGGTGACACTCTAGATCCAAACTGTTACAGACCCATATCCATCCTGCCCTGCCTTTCAAAAGTTTTTGAAAGCCAAGTTAACAAACAGATCACCGACCATTTCGAATCCCACCGTACCTTCTCCGCTATGCAATCCGGTTTCCGAGCTGGTCATGGGTGCACTTCAGCCACACTCAAGGTCCTAAACGATATTATAACCGCGATCGATAATAGACAGTACTGTGCAGCCGTTTTCATTGACCTGGCCAAGGCTTTCGACTCTGTCAACCACCGCATTCTTATTGGCAGACTAAATATCCTTGGTTTCTCAAATGACTGCCTCGCCTGGTTCACCAACTACTTCTCAGATAGAGTTCAATGTGTCAAATCGGAGGGCCTGTTGTCTGGACCTATGGCAGTCTCTATGGGGGTGCCACAGGGTTCAATTCTTGGGCCAACTCTTTTCTCTGTGCATATCAATGACGTCGCTCTTGCTGCTGGTGACTCTCAGATCCACCTCTACGCAGACGACACCATTTTGTATACATCTGGCCCTTCATTGGACACTGTGTTAACAAACCTCCAAACGAGCTTCAATGCCATACAACACTCCTTCAGTAGCCTCCAACTGCTCTTAAACACTAGTAAAACTAAATGCATGCTCTTCAACCGAACGCTGCTTGCACCCGCCCACCCGACTAGAATCACCACTCTCGACGGGTCTGACCTAGAGTATGTGGACAACTACAAATACCTAGGTGTCTGGTTAGACTGTAAACTCTCCTTCCAGACTCACATTAAGAATCTCCAATCCAAAGTTAAATCTAGAATCGGTTTCCTATTTCGCAACAAAGCCTCCTTCACTCATGCTGCCAAACATGCCCTCGTAAAACTGACTATCCTACCGATCCTTGACTTCGGCGATGTCATTTACAAAATAGCTTCCAACACTCTACTCAGCAAATTGGATGTAGTCTATCACAGTGCCATCCGTTTTGTCTCCAAAGCCCCATATACTACCCACCACTGTGACCTGTACGCTCTTGTTGGCTGGTCCTCACTACATATTCGTCGCCAAACCCACTGGCTCCAGGCCATCTATAAATCACTGCTAGGCAAATCCCCGCCTTATCTTAGCTCATTGGTCACCATCGCAACACCCACCCGTAGTATGCGCTCCAGCAGGTATATCTCACTGGTCATCCCCAAAGCCAACACCTCCTTTGGCCGCCATTCCTTCCAGTTCTCTGCTGCCAATGACTGGAACAAATTGCAAACATCTCTGAAGCTGGAGACACTTATCTCCCTCACTAACTTTAAGCATCAGTTGTCAGAGCACCTTACCGATCACTGCACCTGTACACAGCCCATCTGAAATTAGCCCGCCCAACTACCTCATCCCTATATTGTTATTTATTTTGCTCATTTGTACCCCAGTATCTCTATTTGCACATCATCTCTTGCACATCTATCATTCCAGTGTTAATACTAATTGTAATTATTTTGCACTATGGCCTATTTATTGCCTTACCTCCATAACTTGCTACATTTGCACACACTGTATATATATTTATTTCTGTTGTATTTTTGACTTTGTTTTGTTTTACCCCATATGTAACTCTGTTGTTGTTTTTATCGCACTGCTTTGCTTTATCTTGGCCAGGTCGCAGTTGTAAATGAGAACTTTTTCTCAACTGGCTTACCTGGTTAAATAAAGGTGAAAAAAAACCCCAAAAAAACAATATAAGTATAAGGAAATAAATAACACCTTAGGATCTCATCACGGTATCTCAAAATGCAATTGTGTTCGTTGTCCGTAGCTTATGCCTGCCCATACCATAACCCCATCACCACCATGGGGCACTCTGTTCACAACGTTGACATTAGCAAACCGCTCACCCACACGACACCATACTGTCTGCCATCTGCCCGGTACAGTTGAAACCAGGATTCATCCATGAAGAGCACACTTCTCCAGCGTGCCAGTGGCCATCGAAGGTGAGCATTTGCCCACTGAAGTCTGTTATGACGCCGAACTGCAGTCAGGTCAAGACCCTGGTGAGGACAATGAGCACGCAGATGAGCTTCCCTGAGACGGTTTCTGACAGTTTATGCAGAAATTTTTCGGTTGTGCAAACCCACAGTTTCATCAGCTGTCCGGGTGGCTTCCGCAGGTGAAGAAGCCGGATGTGGAGGTCCTGGGCTGACGTGGTTACACGTGATCTGTGGTTGTGAGGCCGGTTGGACGTACTAACAAATTCTCTAAAACGATGTTGGAGGCGGCTTATGGTAGAGAAATTAACATTCAATTCTCTAGCAACAGCTCTGGTGGACATTCCTGCAGTCAGCATGCCAATTGCACGCTCCCTCAAAACTTGAGACATCTGTGTCATTGTGTTGTGTGGCAAAACTGCACCCTTTTAGAGTGGCCTTTTATTGTGTCCAGCACAAAGTGCACCTGTGTAAGGATCATGCTGTTTAATCATCTTCTTGATATGCCACACCTGTCAGGTGGATGGATTATCTTGGCAAAGGAGAAATGGTCACTAACAGGGATGTAAAGAAATGTGTGGAGAAAAATTAATTGTGCATATGGAACATTTGTGGGATCTTTTATTTCGGCTCATGAAACACAGGACCAACACTTGACATGTTGCCTTTATATTTGTGTTCAGTGTAGATCTATATGCTATAACATTCCAGAGGTGTCCGATAGATATTCAAGATGCAGTTAGAGATAAGCTGCCTGTCCTACCTGCGTAGATTAGCTTTTGCCCCGCGGCTGGATAGCCATCCTTCCCTTTCTCAATCTCAATCTTCTCCTTCAGGGCTTTTACCTGCCAATAACATAATAACATAATGACAAGCCGTTAAATAGGACTAGACATAGAACCCATTTAGTTTTATCTCTATGGGCAGGACTTTCTTCTGATTAGTTCTCTGAGGAGATCACCTCTCCTGGACCTCCTGAACCTAATTATGGTGACACATTATAGTGTATGTCTCAGCTCAGTCATAAAGCAGAATCCTTGAGGATTATGGGATTGGAAGTGAAAAGCTGAGAGCCTGTGATTCACATTCCGTCATTACTTCACCTTGTTGTGAATGCTTCGAGGCAGTTACTTTTATAGACATGTGCATTTCAATGGATCTACATTCCCTTATGTGATACACCATAAATGTATTTTTAAAGTTGACACACGCTACACAAGTTAATGATACAGTAATACATGTTCCAGTTTTAAAACTGAGATGTAGAGTTGCTCACCAGACAGTGTTATTACCAGCAATGTAATATATCTGTCGGTCAATCAGCAATACAGGCCTAGGAAAATAATTTGTAAAACAGATGCCATAGCTTGTGCACAGTCATACTACTATTTACATTTATCTAAAGGTTGAGTGTTACTCAATCCTGGTCCTGTGGAACCTCAGGGGATGCAGGCTTTTGTTCCAGCCCAGTGCTACTGCTAGTTGCTAACACACTTGATTCAACAAATAAGGGTCTTGCTAATCAGATGTACAGTGCATTCGGAAAGTATTCAGACCCCTTGACCTTTCCCCCCCCCCCCCACATTTTGTTACGTTACAGCCTTATTCTAAAATTGATTAGATTGGTATTTTCCTCCTCATCAATCTACACACAATACCCCATAATGACAAAGCAAAACAAGTTTTTAGACATTTTTGCAAATGTATTAAAAATAAAAAACGGAAATATCACGTTTACATAAGTATTCAGACCCTTTACTCAGTACTTTCTTGAAGCACCTTTGGCAGCGATTACAGCCTCAAGTCTTCTTGGGTATGGCGCCACAAGCTTGGCACACCTGTATTTGGGGAGTTTCTCCCATTCCTCTCTGCAGATCCTCTCAAGCTCTGTCAGGTTGGATGGGGAGCGTTGCTGCACAGCTATTTTCAGTTCTCTCCAGAGATGTTCGATCGGGTTCAAGTCCGGGATCTGGCTGGGCCACTCAAGGACATTCAGAGACTTTTCCCAAAGCCACTGCTGTGTTGTCTTGGCTGTGTGCTTTGGGTCGTTGTCTTGTTGTCCTTCACCCCAGTCTGAGGTCCTGAGCGCTCTGGAGCAAGTTTTCATCAAGGATTTCTCTGTACTCTCTTTGCCTCAATCCTGACTAGTCTCCCAGTCCCTGCCGCTGAAAACATCTCCACAGCATGATGCTGCCACCACCATGCTTCACCGTAGGGATGGTGCCAGGTTTCCTCCAGACGTGACGCTTGTCATTCAAGCCAAAGAGTTCAATCTTGGTTTCATCAGACCAGAGAATCTTGTTTCTCATGGTCTGAGAGTCTTTAGGTGCCTTTTGGCAAACTCCAAGTGGGCTGTCATGTGCCTTTTACTGAGGAGTGGCTTCCATCTGGCCACTCTAACATAAAGGCCTGATTGGTGGAGTGCTGCAGAGATGGTTGTCCTTCTGGAAGGTTCTCCCATCTCCACAGAGGAACTCTAGAACTCTGTCAGAGTGACCATCGGGTTCTTGGTCACGTCCCTGACCAAGGCCCTTCTTCCCTGATTGCTCAGTTTGGCCGGCGGCCAGCTCTAGGAAGAGTTTTGGTGGTTCCAAACTTCTTCCATTTAAGAATGATGGAGGCCACTGTGTTCTTGGGGACTTTCAATGCTGCCGACAAATGGTTTGGTACCCTTCCCCAGATCTGTGCCTTGACACAATCCTGTCTCGGAGCTCTACGGACAATTCCTTCGACCTCATGGCTTGGTTTTTGCTCTGACATGCACTGTCAACTGTGGGACCTTATATAGACAGGTGTGTGCCTTTCCAAATCATGTCCAATCAATTGAATTTACCACAGGTGGACTCCAATCAAGTTGTAGAAACATCTCAAGGATGATCAATGGAAACAGGATGCACCTGAGCTCAATTTCGAGTCTCATAGCAAAGGGTCTGAATACTAATGTAAATAAGGTATTTCAGTTTTTTATTTTTAAACAATTTGCAAAAATGTCTCAAACCTGTTTTCACTTTGTCATTATCGGGTATTGTGTGTAGATTGCTGAGAGAGAAAAAATATTGAATCAATTTTAGAATAAGGCTGTAATGTAACAGAATGTGGAAAAATTCAAGGGGTCTGAATACTTTCCAAAGGCACTGTATGTATCTAAAACATTTTACCATGTGAGTTGACTGAGAAAGCATTCTTATTGACAGCAGTACTATAGTAGCAAGCTGCTCTAAAGGTAGAGAGAGCCCTAAAGGTCACTGCTATGTAGGGGTTCTGGTAGGTGCATTCCAAAGGGGAAACATCACCTGTAAATTAAGCCAAGTATAGAGCAGATGAACATGCAAAGCAGACAATGTGTTGACATTGGAAATATATTGAAAACAGCAAACAATCATAATATTGTAGAAGAAACCATTTTAAAATACATTTTAATAATCAACAGCCCGCCAATGTATAGCCTAAGCTATTTTAATAAAGACAATTAACTGTTGTAGGTTATTAAACATGCATTAAATAATGTTATTATTAACCTTATCTTTATGTATTGTTGTGAATTTTACAACCTCTGTTATATAAATCACAAACACTGTTTTTTCAATGGTAGTGTATAAACAAATATATCATAACAAACGTACAGAACGCCCCCCTCCACCCGATTCCTATAGTCCAAAAAAGGGGGTATACGAGAGCCCATCTTTCGTAACGAGACGGGGCTCGTAAAATTTTGCGTCGTCATTCATGAATATACAGCCAGGCAATCTCAAGCGCAACGAAAATCGCGATTTGACAACACCACCTAACTGTTACAATGTGACATGAAGAATGACAACATTATATAAAATAGCATCCCCCTCTCCAGATTAAATCGCTTTGTCCAAGGCCCTGGTTGCTCCCAGCCCCTCGGCCTCAAGCATATTTACTGGAGTCACTGACTTAACTTCCACTACTCACCGTTAGTTCTGGGTCTATTTCTATTTTAAACGTTTGCTGCTGAAGAGTCTTCAACGTTATCGACAGCATCTTCAAGACGATTCCCGATAATTGCCAGACGATAAAGGGCTCTACACCAGTGTTCACACCAGTTTCTGTAGGCTACTGTTGCCACAGTAGGACCTAGTTGTGTGACTCAGCTATCTCACTGTATTGGTTGTGTTGTAGTCAGACGCCATCTACTTGCTGCCTGAGACAAGACATACTGATGGGGGCTAGGGCTATATCCCGTGAATCTAAAATCTTGTGCATATGATGGTTTACTCAATATCAAATGCTGTTCTATTCGCACCTCTTACAACAAAAATACTTTGTAAATTATTTTGGGGGTTTTCAAAGAGCATTTAAAACATGACTGACGGAGACATTTACAAAATTATCAGTCAAGGAATTGTACAATTATTAGAAAGCAAACACATTGTGGTTTCTTTCCACTGAAAATGTTGTGTACTGTCACTGACAAACTTGCATGTATTGCAGTATCTGGGTAAGGATTGTTCCAGAATATGGTTGAGAAAAGGCCCATCGCCCTGTCCCGAGTATCCTCAGTGAGGCAGAGACCTGCCATCGCCCTGTCCTGATTGTCCTCAGAGAGGCAGAGACCTGCCATCGCCCTGTGTGTCCTCAGAGAGGCAGAGACCTGCCATCGCCCTGTCCTGAGTGTCCTCAGAGAGGCAGAGACCTGCCATCGCCCTGTGTGTCCTCAGAGAGGCAGAGACCTGCCATCGCCCTGTCCTGAGTGTCCTCAGTGAGGCAGACCTGTCATTGCCCTGTCCTGAGTGTCCTCAGAGAGGCAGAGACCTGCCATCGCCCTGTCCTGAGTGTCCTCAGAGAGGCAGAGACCTGCCATCGCCCTGTGTGTCCTCAGAGAGGCAGAGACCTGCCATCGCCCTGTCCTGAGTGTCCTCAGTGAGGCAGACCTGTCATTGCCCTGTCCTGAGTGTCCTCAGAGAGGCAGAGACCTACCATCGCCCTGTCCTGAGTGTCCTCAGAGAGGCAGAGACCTGCCATCGCCCTGTCCTGAGTGTCCTCAGAGAGGCAGAGACCTGCCATCGCCCTGTGTGTCCTCAGAGAGGCAGAGACCTGCCATCGCCCTGTCCTGAGTGTCCTCAGTGAGGCAGACCTGTCATTGCCCTGTCCTGAGTGTCCTCAGATAGGCAGAGACCTGCCATCGCCCTGTGTGTCCTCAGAGAGGCAGAGACCTGCAAGAAAACACACTCAAGCATGGTCAAGAGTACCTCTACTCATTTAAAGGTTTTGCAACTTTGTCAACTAGATTGGCCGTAGTAGTACCTGGGACTTCAGGTACATTTCCAGATGGACCAGATCAGCATTACGAGACTCGTTCAGCGGTATCCACTTTGATACTGGTTATCATTGTGTCTACAACCCCATACTAGAACTGTTACGTCGAACCCATTCATTTCACAAAATCAGTAACAATCTAACTTTTCTTCAAAGTAAGTCTCCTGAAAATACTTAGTGTATTTCATTGAAAGAAAAAGCTTAATTTATTCACTGAAACTTAAACAGTATGCTGTGGGGACAGTCGCATGTTTAAGATTGTGAGTCACAGTTTAAATCCTTTAGTCTGTAGTCATTGGGCTGCTACACTACACATTTAGTTTAGATTTCCTCTTAGTACGATAGTCATTACTCATTTGCACGCTCTAGCAGGCTACAACGCCCTATAGCCAGTGGGATAACCACTTTACAATTTGGAGCAAGGTCTGAGACAGAAACATGTACAACACAGATCATTGGAGAGTTATGAATGGTGGACAAACAGAGGATGATTTTAATGAGGGAATAAATTAAATGGATGTTAATTATAATAATGTATGGTACAGTACTGCATACAACTGTATAAAAATAAATCATTTAGAAAAACGTGCAAAGAAATTACAATTGATATGCACCCGATTTGTTTCTCCAAATAGACAGCATCAAATAAGATTGATGACAAGGATGGGGGGAATAGTCCTTTGCTTTGACACTGAAGGGATGAACTGATGGTAGCTGATGATAAAAGCAAAGGAGCCAGTGGCAGCAACACCTAGTGGCAGCAACACCTAGAGCAACTGTAGGACACAGGACAGCAACACCTAGTGGCAGCAACACCTAGAGCAACTGTAGGACACAGGGACGGGATAGACCACATTCTGAACAGGGGGAGATTATCCTAAATTAAGCATTCTCACAGAAACATAAAACTTAAACCCAGTTCTTCAACCCTAAACACCTTAAAAAAGGCAAACATTGCCTGCCCCTTTAACCCTTTCCCACCCCTACACCTGAAAAATAGGTTGCCACAGGAGGGGCAAGTCCATAGGGTATTACTCAACGTGATGATGCACAGCAGTCAGTCCATTGGAGAGGAGATAGGGCGGGACAGAAATATATTCTGTTCGGTTTCATTTACAACTCATCCTTGTCCTTCTTGGGAGTTTCCTCTTCCTCCTCTTCTGTTGGGCTGTCCTCATCTTCCTCCTCCTCTGGATCATCCTCTTCATCTTCATCCCCCTCATCATCAGCTGTGTCCTTCTTGCTCTTCTCCTCCTCTTCTCTCGCTTTCCTCTCCTCCTCCTCCTGTGCATGCTTCATTTTCTTTTCTGGTTCCTGTTTTACAAAGAAGGAAAATGGGTCATTGAGAGACAGAGTGCTATGGGACTGGTGTATTTTGGTCTAACATTAGAAAATTAATATCAAATTGAACTCATACTAACTTATGCCAAAATAGAAACGTATCATGAATATAACAAAATCCTACCTTTGTAGTTCCCCAGGTTTCGTTTCCAAACTCCTCCGCCTCCTTTACATCATCACTAATCAGGAAGTTGTCAAAGATGGTGCCAGACTTCACCTATAGAAAGACAGACAAACAAATGTAACATCAAGCCCATAATTACCCTTCAGCTACACATTTCTCATTCATTGTCTAATGTCTAACATACCTGCCACAGGTCCAGACCCAGCACTCCAATGTTGTCAAACTTGTAGATGGAGGCATCGGCTGTGTACTCAGGGTTATCGATCTCAGGATGCACCCAGGTACCTTTGTAGTCGGGGTTGTCAATCTGCTTTGGCTTCCACTCTCCCTGATAAGACAAGGCCAGATATAAGACTACCAGTGGTGCACAACTAGCTGTATAATGCAGCTCATGGAAGGATAACACTCAATAATAACTTGTATTAATAAATATTAATAAACTATTTGTAAGTATTGTATATGCTATTAATGCATGAGGATTCTATAATATATTAACATAATAAGCTTTATCAGCATTTACATAATTTATAAGCATTTATAACAGCCTAATAATTGAAGTTATATTTAAGCGTTGTTAGCCACTGGTTCAAACTCAGTGTGTACCTGATACTCTGGGTTGGGGATCATAGGAGGCTCCCACTCTCCATCCATGTCCACATCCCAGTCATCAGGCTTCTTAGCATCAGGGTCAGGGATGTTCTCAGGCTTCTCCCAGTCCTAGTGAGAAAGTTCAAGATTAGTTACAACTTGGCCAGTGACAGAACTAAACAAAGTGCTTTGGACAAAAGAGAGAGAGATCACTCCTGAAATGGTGTAACTAAACCAGGACCACAGAAATCTCATGCTCATTGGCCTTAATAGTCAAATGACTGTTAACGGCAGGAAGAAAGATCATACAACATGTGTTAAGCACAATGGGCACATACTATGGCAGAATGAAATGTGATAGCTATCAAATTGTTCCATTTTTTTTACCCATTATGTAAGAGTAACTAGCCTTGGGGAAACATTGGTATCATCTGTCCATTTTACACTGGATTGATGGAACTGTGTTTCCTGACTAGAGGCATTGGGCCGAATAGGGAAACAGTGCTGACTGAACACCAATGGAAAAAAGGGCTGTGCCTCTTCAGCACATTGCCAGTCTCAGTAACAGCTTATAAACTTCTTATAAATCACTGTGGACCTTGGATTACATTTCTCAAACGTGATTCTTATATTACCTATATCAATGCTGGTTTACGTTTGATCAAATATCTTCATTCAAAGAGGCTCACCTCTGGCTTGGTGTCAGTAGGATCGTCGATCTTGGGCCTGTCGTCCCAGTCCTCTGGCTTCTTGGCCTCGGGGTCCTTGATGGTCTTTGCGGGCAGAATGTCCCAGTCCTCCTCCAGAGTGCCTGACTCCACCTTCTCATTGTTGATCTTCACCTCGTATGTCTGGTCCGGGTTCAGGATCAGAGTGTACAGGTGTGTCAGTTCATCATCCTGAAAGGACAAAGTGGAGAACAGCAGGGGTTAGGTTAGAGGCAAAGAAAGGCCTGACAGGTAATATGCAGTAACATAATTCAATGCTGAGGGATTTAAAATGGCGTACCTTGCATTTGACTTCTTTCTTGATGAGGTGGTTCTTGCCTTTGTAGTTGAAGATGACGTGAACCTTCTTGGTGCTGTAGCCACAGATGTCAGGCCCTGTGGGATGGATGGGTAGAGAGCATTTAATCTATTGATTGTCATGTCAATAAAACACAGAATCTACCATACAATCCATGCATTTCTAAAAATGTCTCACTGAATGAATGTCTCACTGAATGTAAAGATTTAAATGACGAGGGTCACTAAATCAAATCCAATTTTATTGGTCGCATACACATATTTGGTAGATGCTATTGCGGGTGTAGCGAAATGCTTGTGTTCCTAGCTCCAACAGTGCAGTAATATCTAACAATATACAACAATACACACAAATCTAAAAGTAAAATAATTGAATTAAGAAATATACACAGAGGAATTCATCTCTGACCAAAAGTCACTCCTCAGTCAGAAAAACTATTGGTGCTCTGCACCCACTCACCAAACATGATGTAATACTGCGAGTCCCCATGCATAGCTGCCTGGTCGAGGTCTGCTGGGAAGATTTTGACATATCCACCGCCACAGTCAATCTTCTGCTCGTGTTTGACAGTGAACTGGACCACCAAGGGCTTGCCCTCGTTGCTGAAGGGTTCAAAGCGGCTGGACATAGCATAGAAACGGGCGTCCTGGCTGGTCTGGAGACCTGTGGAACAGGTAAGAAGATAATACATTAACATCAGTAGGTATAAGGTATAGGAGGTGAGTGATGTATAGTGAGTTTACAGTACTGTATGTCATGTGGATTATATTTTGATTAGGGTTGGCGAGAATACACTTTACATTTGCATTGACAACAATCCACAATCTAAGGGAGCCATGTGCAACCATTTGGCATATGCAAACTCAGACTTAGTGAAGGAATTGGGCATAAACATCTTGTCGTGATCAAACTACTGTATATCCCTATTCAGCTCACCTTTATCGGCCTCAGCGTCGCCATAAAACTTCCCAGCAGTCAGTCTCCACTCGCCATAGTCTGACTTGTGCTTCGATACAAGCCACCGGCTCTTCCATGCATCTGAAAACAACATTTACAATCTTATCAGTCAGGATCTAGGGGAAGTCACATGGATGAGTAAGGACTGCAGGAAATCAAAGAACAAACCAAAAGTGAAAGAATCAGATACAGTGCACTGCTGAGTCATATAATACTTTGATGAAACAAAATGACAATAATGGATTTCACTTTGATACTATGTCAAAAGTTTTTTATACATAAAAAAATGGTGCGTCTTCTACACAGTGTAAAAAGGCTGACCATAATGATATTTCATGTCAATTCACTTTCAAATAGATATTATGCAAAAATAACAAAACAAAAACTCCATTAACGCACATGGTGTAGATGTACCACAATACAGAAAAGTTTAGTTTTAACAAAAATTACATAATGGAGCTTTTTCCAAGCATTAGCCTAGATACCAAAGTTATTGACTATTACATGCAGAAATAACATTGAATATTTAATTAAAAGACCGTGAAGACCAAAACACTAAGTTATAGGGTACGGTATGGGGTCTTGATTAGATGATCCCCAAAACATAATCTATCACATAGAAACGTTTTAGGAATGATCAGAAAGTCACATTTACCTCCATCCTGAAATTGTTCCTTGAAGTATACAGTAGCGTCAATGGTGACAGCTACCGATGCAAAAACTGCAAATATTGCCACTGCGACCCTCATGCTTCCACCGTCCTGTTGTCCAGGTAAACTGTGTCGTTTTCCCCCCCTGAAACACTGTTATAAACGCTGAAGGAATAAGGAAACAGATTATATAATAATTTCTAACTCCGTTTTCCTTCACAGATGGCCGTGGCTCATTGGATGAGATCCTGTCCAATGAAATGAGACCACGAGTTATTTTTCGGAAGTGCTCGGATTACACACAGAGAGGAGAGGCGAAGAGAGAGGCCCAACTCGACGGAAAATCTGTCTCCCACCAGCAGGTGGCGTTTTTTCGCCCACCAAGCAAGGAGTTTTTGTATGGAGGTCAACGAGACAGTGTAGAAACGACTTATTTGCTACGTGAGGTTTATTTGATCGAATAGAAGTTTTGTAATGTTATATTGTTACGAGTGTACTGATATAAGTAGGACACGTGACATTCCGGCAACTCGAGATGGCTATGCATATTCATAGTATGAGGCTGCCTGTGCCATTAAACCCCTACAATTTATCCAGAACGCTCCGTCTGGTGTTCAACCTTCCCAAGTTCTCTCATGTCACCCTTATCCTCCGCACACTCCACTGGCTTCCAGTTGAAGCTCGCAACTACTACAAAACCATGGTTCTTGCCTACGGAGCTGTGAGGGGAACGGCACCTCCTTACCTTCAGGCTCTGATCAGACCCTACACCCAAACGAGGGCACTACGTTCATCCACCTCTGGCCTGCTAGCCCCCCTACCTCTACTGAAGCACAGTTCCCGCTCAGCACAGTCAAAGCTATTCGCTGCTCTGGCACCCCAATGGTGGAACAAACTCCCCCACGACGCCAGGACAGCGGAGTAATAATAATAATAATAATAATAATATGCCATTTAGCAGACGCTTTTATCCAAAGCGACTTACAGTCATGTGTGCATACATTTTTACGTATGGGTGTCTCTGACCACCTTCCGGAGACACTTAAAACCCTACCTACATTTGACATTTAAGTCATTTAGCAGACGCTCTTATCCAGAGCGACTTAGTTAGTGAATGCATACGTATTTATTTTTAATTTTTTTCATACTGGCCCCCAGTGGGAAACGAACCCACATCCCTGCCGGACAAACCCTCCCCTACCTTGGACGACGCTGGACCAATTGTGCGCCGCCCATGGGTCTCCCGGTTGTGGCCGGCTGCGACAGAGCCTGGACTCGAACCAGGATCTCTAGTGGCACAGCTAGCACTGCGATGCAGTGCCTTAGACCACTGCGCTTCCTCTTTAAGGAATACCTGGAATAGTCTAACACTAATCCTTCTACACCCCCCCTCCCCCAGGGTGGTTGTCCCACTGGCTATCCTAAATTGAATGCACCAATTTGTAAATCGCTCTGGATAACAGCGTCTGCTAAATGACTTAAATGTAAATGTAAATGTTAGTAGCATAGCATCTCTCCATGGAATTACAGGTGGTTGAGGTAAACAACCCTCATCGAATATTCAAAAGAGTATACAAATAATTAGATGTATCCACTAACTCAAAGAAAGGATAGGCGGGAGCAGAGAGAGAAGTATTTTATCAGTATATCCATAATCTTTGTTACACATCGACTCGAGGTCGAAGTAGTCACTAACCACAGATCTAGGATCAGATTGCCCAATTTCTTGTTCAATAACAGTAAAACACAGACCTATTGCCATTTCATGACATGCCTCTGATAGCCCGTGCCTTTTAGCAAGAATGACGTTTTCCTTTTAGCTTTCCGTAGAATGACGCGTTTAAATGATGTCATGTGAGTAAACTGCGATTCGTCCCATGGAAACGAGGGAAGCTGTTTAACGTGAAACGTTGGATACATTGTAGCGATCGTGGTTTATCGATCCATGGCCAAATCATGTCGTTGCTACAATGTTAATCTCAAAACGGACACATCTAATCAGGTGCATATGTCGTAATCACTCGCCTGCTTGTTTTGTACGCGACTGCAAAGCAGATATATTCTTGCTAGCAGCCCAACGTAAATTTAGGTCACTGTATTTTTTAAAAACTGCTTAGGACTACTTACGATGAACATAGCCTTGCTTTGTTGTAAAAAAAAATATGTTTCATTACTGCATGTATTTTTCTATTTCATATGATCAACAATGACAACGCAGGTGTTTTGCAAATATCAAATTGTTGAAAATTATTCATCTGAATGTTTTTCGAACAAGCTGATAGATGTAGAGAATGTGGAATCGTGGAGGCAGGAGTTCAGCTCTGGAAAGAGCACAGGCACAGCTCTCAGAGAGGAGAATTACCAAAAGCTCTGCTGACTCAAAAGATAACCCAGAGCGTTATGTGGCTAAAGGAAGAGTTAAAACCCATGGAGATCCAGTAAGTTAAAGTTAATTTATTTTATACTCTACACCCAATGCTTGTTCATTAGCTAAGCTACCCCAAACTGCAAGAATGTTGAGTGCAATGTATTCACGGAATTTGCATTTCTATTGCAGTTATCTCCCCAGGGATATATGGATACCATTGCCAATAGGAGAAACACCTCACAAGCCAGACAAACCCCATTCCAGGACCTGAGCGACCTATCGTTATCCTTAGAGGACTCAGTGAGTAAACAACATCCCAATGAGATCACCAACAAAAAGCTGGGGAGGGACGACCCACCAGCAGAGAGCTTTGGAGCAGGTTGGGGGAGCAGGTTCCTCAAGAAAGCCCCTCCACCTGCTGCAGTTACCAGCCAACCTCCAGCCCTGAGCAGGACCCAGACACAGCCGGTCGAGGCCAAATATGTGACCACATACCAGAGGAGCTCACAGAGCGCAGCCCTGAGCCGACTGGCCCTCATAGAGAACCGCATCCGAAACCGGCAACAGGCCAGGGATGGACCAGCGCTGTCTGCTGATAGGAGTACACCACCAGCCACCCAGGAGAGGGAGACGCCCCTGTCTTCCCAGTCCAGCAGTGACCTCAGCATGAAGGGGAAACGCTTCCTGAAGAAGACAGCGAATTCATCACCTACACCTGCTGTAGCGCCCAAGGAGAAAGGCCCGGATCTGGATCCCATGCCATTGGGTGGTTCCAAAGCCCCTATTCCTCCAATCAGGGTGGCCAGTCGAGGTGTGACTCTGGACAGTGATGAGGAGGATATGAGGAAGCTCCTGGGAGGCTCTTTTGAGTCATCAGAGGATAGCCTGCACAAAGAAGCAAGAGTGTCCTCACAGACAACAACTAGAAAGGTAGCTCACTGCCTTACTAAGAGTGATATTATTAGGTATTAATAGCAATTTAGTACCAGCAATGTGCAATCTAACCACCATCTCTCCTTTTGCTTATATTCCACAGTCCTTCGTCAAAAGAAGCCAAAAGGTTTCACCCTCACCTCCACTGGCAGACTGGCCATCCTCAGTCAGAGCACTGTCCCGCTCCCCACCCTTTCCTCAACGACTCGGGTCCCCCAGGTGCTTCTCCAGCCGAACCCTGGCCCAGCACAGCCCTTCTCTCTCCATCCGCAGTGCCTCAGTGGTCCTCTCGCCATCGCCCTCTCCACCCAACGCTCCCTCCCCAGGCAGACAGGGCTCCCCCCAGTCCAGACACCTCAGGCGCTCCCGGTCCTCAGTGTCAGCCCTCAGCGAGGTGCGCTCCCTGGAGGAGCTCTTCCCTGAGGCCCTGGGCTCCCTGGCGGAGCTCTACCCTGAGGACCTGCCCTCTGACGATGCCACCAGTGAGAAAAGTGGGGTCTCTGATGGTAAGATGTCATGCATTAAATATCTGTAGTCTGAGTTATAGTGAAAAGCAATATAGAAATGTGAAATGTGCTTTTCTATAGTGTTTTGAGTGTGAAGGCTAAACAGTGATGCAGAGAGCTTTAATATAATTTACAAATTCAGTTGATTAATTAAGTCATGTTTTCTCTGCAGAATTCAAGATTAACATTATGTCACTGGACGACCTGGCACCGGTCGTCACGCTTGGAATGTATGAGAACAAAAAAAAAAAAAAAGTTAGTAATAATGACAGCCAGTGGTACCATTAGGTTCTTTCTGGATATGTTTTACATTGCTGATGAGGTTTTGTTTTCCAGAAAGAAACCAAAGCGGTCAAGCACAAGGACCCTGCTGCTAGATCATTTATCGAGGAAGTTTCTGGTGAGGAGCAGATCCCATCAGAGGAGCCCAGGGAGGACTATGAGAGTGACTTTGAGAGTGAGATTAGGACTGAGACAGACAGGAGTAGGGTGAGTGAGATCTCCAAGTACCTGGGAGACGGGGACAAGGACGTGTCGGAGGTCAGCGAGGTCAGGGACTGCATCGTCTCTGACACATCCCGGCAAGACAAGTACTCCAGTGTCTCGGAGGGGGACAGTCACGTCACCCACACAGACTACAGTAGAACCGCTGATTCATTCAGTGGCAGAAGCAGCAGTGGTTCCTATTCCAGATCATCATCTCGCTCCCACTCTATGGCTGACACTATCACGCCGTCTAGCGTGTCGAAAAGACGATCACCCAGCAGAAGGAGCGTGAGAGAGGCTGCGGTGCAGACCCAACCAGACGGACTGGCCTACACCTGGTCCTCCGGTTTGTCCACTAACTAACTACAGTACATTTGCAACAGCAAAAACAATATTGGCATTTTAGTCAGTGTAATGTAGTAATGGCTACTTGTCTGTCATACCTCTCCTTACATAACACTGTCATTCCCGTCTGTTTGTGTAGGTATGGCCACCCTGGGGCCAGCGGTGGGGATGGCCTACGTGGATCCAACCCCTGTTGCAAGTCACACCGTCAGCGCAGAGGCCGTGGAGGGTATGTCATTACAGCCACGGTTCAGTGACAACAATTCACTTATTTTTTTATAAAATGCCTCAGTTGAGCCTCAATCGCTACATCGCAACTCATGCTAGTTGATGCACTGTTTCACCCACCTCATTTTCACCGTAATGCCTGAAGCATAATCTCTTATCTAAACAGGAAAGGCTCAGGTTTTCATCCTTCTGACCACACCTCTATTGTGTCTACCTCCTCCCCAGCCCTCAGTGCGTACAGCCCTGCTGTGTTTGCCCTTAACGACATGCTGAGGCAGCAGCTGGCCCTCACCAAACACTTTGTCCAGACCAGCCGCCACCTCCATTCCTCCTTGCTGCAGTCTCTGGGCCCTGCAGACTACACCTACACTACTCTGGAGGACACCAAGGAGGTAGGCTACTCTAATGCCCAATCCCAACTTTAATTGCAACACACTTGCGTAGTACTGAAGGTGTAATTGATAGTGAAACACCCCACCTTGACACCTATCCTCTTATGAGGGGCTCTCAACCTTTGTCAAATATTTGCTTTGGACCCTTGCCAGAAGATAGCGACCCTACCCTTTACGCTTGTTTAAACTGAGCTGCACTGATGGTTACATTAAGACAGGGTTTCCCAAACTCTGTCCTGGGCACAGGAAGTTGGTGGCACCTTAATTGGGGAGGACGGGCTCATGGTAATGTCTGGACTGGAATAGGTGGAATTGTGTCAAATACATCCAACACATGGTTTCTATGTGTTTGGTGACATTCCATTTACTCCGTTTCGGCCATTATTAGCCGTCCTCCCCTCAGCAGGCTCCTGTGGTCTTGGGCCCCCCCCCAGGTGCACGTTTTGGTTTTTACCCTAGCACTACACAGCTGATTCAAATAATCAAAGCTTGATGATGAGTTGGTTATTTGGTTTTAAAACGTGCACCCAGGGGTGGGCCCCAGGACCGAGTTTGGGAAACCCTGCATTAAGACACCGTTGAGAGCCGGTGTGAGATATGGGTCGGAAAACATACTGCAATGCGATATGCCACTGTACTCCAAATTTTAACTTTACCTTTATCCACACTGATACATCAAAGATTTCTCTAAAAACTGCCCTTTTCGTACTCATGCTAGCTAGCAGTAGCCACCGCAGCCATTTTGTAATGGCAGTGTCAGCCAATCAGCTCCTTTGTTGTTGAACGCGACATGCCATTCCATAATGGCTGCTGTGGCTACTGGTAACTAGCACGAGGACAAAAAGGGCAGTTTTCCAGGAAAACGAACAGTATTTCAATCTTCGATGGAGCAGTGTGGATAAAAGTAAAATTTGGAGTACAGTGGCATATCCCATCCCTGCATTGAGGTACGTTTTCCGACCCATATCTCGCGCCGGCTCCACGGTGTCTTAATGATTGATTTCCGACCTGTGTAAACAAGCGTAACGGTAGGGTCGCTATCTTCTGGCAACTGTGGACCCTAATTGTTTTCACACTTACTCTGTGCATTTGTAGTCATGATCCAAGACAAAGATTTACATTTTCAGATTTGTTCTACTTTTCCTGAATTGTAGTGGGATTCAATCAACCTGTGCTATCTGTGTTATAGTTCATTCGCTGTCACAAGCCTCCCCAGCTGACCATGGAAGAGGCCTTGGAGGAGGTTCTTCAAGAAATGAGAGAGTACCACTACATCTGACTACCAGGAACTGCTCGGACTGCACATGGTGCTATTAAAATATTTTATACTAGAGATTATTTTTTCTTAAAAAAACAATCTATTAGTTGGGGCATGTGAGACTGACCTTCAGGACATCCTTATGACAAGGTCATTTACTGAGTGATGTCATGTTCTCTATAGAATGTACCATTTTTATATTCAGATCAATGAGGATATGTAATGCTGTTCAATTAAAAGATTGACAGATAACTTTAATCATATTTTTTTTACACTTAAGTGCTTGTGAATTTACCTTGATATTAAATGGACCATATTTGTGATGGTTGATTCTGAAGGGACAATTCTTTAGTCATGTTATTTAAAGCTTACATTTAAATTCAAGCGGAGACAAACTGTGAGCGCATTTATTCAAACAAATTCAAACATGAAATGGTTTTTCTTTACAGCATGTGGTTAGAGGGTGATTTTGATTCACATTTACAGTTGTCAGTGGGTGAATTCTTCAAACTTATTTTGTGGGATTTAGTTTATTTTTCTTTCAAAAGAGCAACACAATACAATTTCTATCCATTTCCAAGTAATCAAAAACTGGAACATTAAGAAAATACATGAAAGAGTATCACGAAAAAGTAACATTAAAACGGAGGATTTTGCAAACAAACACTTATGACCATTATTCTGTACAAAAAACTGACTGGAGGTGTGTTCTGGGTAAGGGTTGTTTGATTTACTATGCACATCATTCGGGGGGAGGGGGCTCCTGTGGATCCCGATTCACTGAAATAAACAAGACCATTTGTTATATTTTAGTTTGTCATATCACCTAAAAATACACATATCCACTACCACAGGATTTCATTTTTTTTTTTTGTTTAAAAATAGATTTTAGATTTACATTTTTGTCATTTATCAGACGCTCTTATCCAGAGCGATACAGTTTAGTGAGTGCATACATACAAATCACTTGATGAACATTCCTACCTTCCTCCCTTGCCTTCATGCGAGCTACAAAGTTGTAGCTCTTGTTCCTGCGGTAGTTCTCATAAGGGTCGTCCAGTGACACCCCCACTCCTTTATACTGGTCCCACTTGTCCCGGAGTTCTCCCCCCTTGATGGGGTCCTGGATGCCCTGCTCCTTCGCCCCAAGCCCCCCAGAACCACTCCAGCCCATTTTCATGAGCAGCTGATGGCCCTTGTTCTCCTCTCCCAGCCTGCTGTCTGGAGGCAGGATAGAGGGGGCTGCGCCCAGACCAGACGTAGTTCTGTGGAGATCACAACCAATACAGTTGAAGTCGGAAGTTTACATACACCATAGCCAAATACATTTAAACTCAGTTTTTCACAATTCCTGACATTTAATCCTCGTAAAAATTCCCTGTCTTAGGTGAATGTGAAATGTCAGAATAATAGTAGAGAGAATGATTTATTTCAGCTTGTATTTCTTTCATCACATTCCCAGTGGGTCAGAAGTTTACATACACTCAATTAGTATTTGGTAGCATTGCCTTTAAATTGTTTAACTTGGGTCAAACGTTTCAGGTAGCCTTTCACAAGCTTCCCACAATAAGTTGGGTGAATTTAGGCCCATTCCTCCTGACGGAGCTGGTGTAACTGAGTCAGGTTTGTAGGCCTCCTTGCTCGCACACGCTTTTTCAGTTCTGCCCACACATTTTCGATAGAATTGAGGTCAGGGCTGTGTGATGGCCACTCCAATACCTTGACTTTGTTGTCCTTAAGCCATTTTGCCACAACTTTGGAAGTATGCTTGGGGTCATTGTCCATTTGGAAGACCCATTTGCGACCAAACTTTAACTTCCTGACTGATGTCTTGAGATGTTGCTTCAATATATCCACATAATTTTCCTTCCTCATGATGCCATCTATTTTGTGAAGTGCACCAGTCCCTCCTGCAGCAAAGCAACCCCACAGCATGATGCTGCCACCCCCGTGCTTCACGGTTGGGATGGTGTTCTTCGGCTTGCAAGCAGCCCCTTTTTTCCTCCAAACATAACAATGGTCATTATGGCCAAACAGTTCTATTTTTGTTTCATTAGACCAGAGGACATTTCTCCAAAAAGTACGATCTTTGTCCCCATGTGCAGTTGCAAACCGTAGTCTGGCTTTTTTATGGTGGTTTTGGAGCAGCGGCTTCTTCCTTGCTGAGAGGCCTTTCAGGTTGTCGATATAGGACTCGTTTTACTGTGGATATAGATACTTTTGTACCGGTTTCCTCCAGCATCTTCACAAGGTCCTTTGCTGTTGTTCTGGGATTGATTTGCACTTTTCGCACCACTTGCGTACTATTGTTTGTTCAGATGAACGTTGTACCTTCAGGTGTTTGGAAATTGCTCCCAAGGATGAACCAGACTTGGAGGTCAAAAATATAATAATCTGAGGTCTTGGCTGATTTCTTTTGATTTTCCCATGATGTCAAGCAAAGAGGCACTGAGTTTGAAGGTAGGCCTTGAAATACATCCACAGGTACACCTCTAATTGACTCAAATGATGTCAATTAGCCTATCAGAAGCTTCCAATGCCATGACATCATTTTCTGGAATTTTCCAAGCTGTTTAAAGGCACAGTCAACTTAGTGTATGTAAACTTCTGACCCACTGGAATTGTGATACAGTGAATTATAAGTGAAATAATCTGTCTGTAAACAATTGTTGGAAAAATTACTTGTGTCATGCACAAAGTAAATGTCCTAACCGACTTGCTAAAACGATAGTTTGTTAACAAGAAATGTGTGGAGTGGTTGAAAAACGAGTTTTAATGACTCCAATCTAAGTGTATGTAAACTTCCGACTTCAACTGTACATTCAGTAAAGACAGCAAAACCTATCTACAGCAGGGTTCCCCAACACTCTCTTTGGGCCCCCTCAGACGATTCACATTTTTGTTTTAACCCTAAACAATTAGTCAAAGGCTTGATGATTAGTTGAGTAACTGAATCAGGTGTGCCAGTTTAGGGTTAAAACAAAAATGTGAAATGTCTGGGTGGGGCCCAAAAGAGAGGGTTGGGAAACCCTGTTCTACAGCCTTCAATGCTCTGCTTTAACTTTTCAATGTGAGTGTGACGCCTCCATTATCTCAATGGCAGTTACTATTCGGTCTCTACCCTCCCCAAGCCCGTATCGCCATTATATGCACAGATTTGCAAGCAATATGTCAGACGCAATAGGATGTGTGGACAGTAGGATCCTGTGCATGATGAGATGAGGGACTTACGGAGGGGAGGGGCTACGGGACTTCTGGGAGGCGGGGGCGGAGGCAGGCCTCTCTTGCCGTCTCTTGTCAGGAGAGCGAGATCTGGAGCGAGACCTAGAACGAGAGCGACTGCGGGACGACCTGGATCGGCTCCTGCTCCTGTGGAGGTGAAATACAAAAAGTCATAAGCATCAATGTCTTCGTAACTGTGTCGGTCTCGTGTTGGTGGTGCATCACCACCAACTAACATTAACAAAATCTAAATTTCGGAGTTCAGGAATTCCTGTTAAATCAGGAAGACTCCCATCTGTGCGTACCTGGAGCGAGATCGGGAGTAGGAGCGAGATCGGGACCGGGAGGAGGAGCGGGAGGACTTGGAGGATCTGGAGCTGGATTCAGACGAGGAGCGGCCCTGACTACGAGAACGGCTGTGTGAACGACTACCGTGTGCACTGGGAGAGACAGAGAGAACACACCTCGTTAACACTCATCTCTCATTCCGTATTTACACTTACGACAGGCGGCAACTTAATTGTGGAGGACGGGCGCATTGTAATGGCTGGAACAAAATAAATGGAATGGTATCGAACACAAACACATGGTTTTTGATGTGTTTGATACCATTCTATTCACACCATTCCAGCCATTATTATGATCAGTCCTCCCATCAGCAGCTTCCTGTGACACAGATGGGAAATAAGACGAACAGACTTGCAAAGCATTTGTATTTACCTGCTGATTTCAAAGGCACATTTATTTTATGTTAATAGACACCCAAAGTCTCATTATACTACAGATAAGTGTGTGTGTGAGAGACATAAGGCTGGTCAGCAGGCAGACTGTCTCACCTGTTGTGTTTCTCCTGGCCCTTTCTCCTCCTGGCTCTCATCTTGGCTCTGAAGAACTCATACAGGCCGTTCTGTTCCCAGCCCTCACTGACAGACAAACACATTGTAATCAATAGAGCACACACATTGCATTGATCACATCAAGTGAAAATGTTTGTGTTTTACCTGTTCCTGGGTCGGTCGTGGGAGGGGGGGCTGTAGAAGGCCTCCACAGCAGCTAACAGGCGTTCACTGGGGGGCATCGGGGGAGGCAGACGGATGTCTTTGGGATCCAGTGCTTTGTAGTCATGGTCTTCCAGCTAACGCACATAAACAGGTAGAGAACATAACTGTTTAGATCACTGTGTCCAATAAATATATGTATCTCCATGTATGGTGAGCTGTGGAAACAATTTATCCTTGAAAAGCAATCGACATCTTCATCCCTTGCCACTCACTTTGACAAGAGGGGCCATGAGTCCGGCGGGCAGGTCGAAGTAGGGGACGTTGGGGACCAGGCTGGGGTCGTCCTGGTTGACGTGAGCCGGGGCTGGACGCTGTCTCATGTGGGGGGACTGGCCGTTGAAGCCGTGGGACGGGGGGCCGAAGTCTGGGTGCTGGTTACCCCCCCAGGGAGGGTGCTCCCCTCCCCCCATACCCGGAGGAGGGATCCTCTGGCTAGGGTGGTGGTGCGGAGGAGGGCCCATGTCTTGGTCAACACGCAGGGGCATGGGGAGATACTCAGTTAAATTACATGTTGCAGCTAGTACTTTCAGTTACTGATGTAAATCAACGCTATGTGAACGGTAACTATGGATGGTGGTCAGGAAACTAAACCAGAGGGGTGCTCATATGCAATAGTCATAGAAAAAACGGTGAATATTGAACTCACAGGGTGGGACCTGTCCTGTATTCTTACCTCCAGGGAAGTCTCCCTGTGGGTAGTCAAAGCGGTGTGGAGGGTAGGGCGGCCTCTCAAAGTGGTGCCTGGGTGGAAAGTCATCCTGCATGTAGCGCTGCGGGAACCGGCCAAAGTTGTGGGGAGGCGGGGGCGGCTGGTTGAAGGGAGGGGGCCCTGGCTGGTGGGGCGGGAAGGGCCCTCTGAAGTGGGGGGGCCTCTGCATGCGGGGGAAGGGCGGATCTCTCTGGCCCCAGGGGGGCTGGTCAGGTCCCTGGTTGCTCCAGGGGGGCTGGTCGTACTGACCGCTCCAGTTGGGAGGGGGCTCGTTCTGTCCTCCCCCTCCGCTCCAGGGACCCCCCTCCCCCCTTGGGGGGCCTCCGCTCCAGCTGGGGTCCCCCCTCTGCTCGTTCCAGATGCCCTCGTGGCTGTTCCAGGGGGGGCACGGCGGGGGCGCCTGGGTGGGGTCGAACGGAGGCTGAGAGGGGACAAAAATAAATGGTGTTTAGACAGAGACTCATCTTCCATGTTACTGTACCTTCACCACCCACTCATTCATCAACTCAACAGTTTGTTAGCATTGGACTGATTCAATAGATAGGAACATCAGTCAATCTGTTCAACTCCACAACAACAGTAAACCTGTAAGTATATCCACAGACTATTCCTTGTAGTTTTACACAATAAGGGAACAGTCACACACTGCATACAAACACATTAGGAGAGCAGCTTACTGGCTGATTGGGGTTCCAGCCTCCAGACATGTGTTGTGGGTCAAACCAGGGTTTGGAAGAGGAGTTATCAGAGTGGCCACTGTTGTTGGCACCGGGGTCTGATCTGGACTGGGCTCCGTCATAATCACCAGGAGGGCCAGACATGGACGCCTTCACCTCTCCTGTCGTTTTAAGTTTCACGTTTTAATGTCACATGCACAACTACAGTGAAATGCCTTCGACACCACAAGACAGTGAGAGGATATTTGGTTAATGGGTAAATATGGCTATAGATGAAGAATCTACCCATAATCAACATGTAAACTAATAACATTATGAAGTGCTTGGTGTGTGTGTACCCAAGAGAGACAGCCTAAAAGTCAACCAAATCCATCACCATCTTCTCTACAGTGCTGTTTTGCTAACAATAGCCACAACATGTAAACAAAAGCACATAATGAAGTGCCTGGTGTGTGTGTGTGTGTGCGCGCAGTGGTGTAAAGTACTTAAGTAGTACTTTAAAGTATTTTTACTTAAGTAGTTTTCTTGAGTTTCTGTACTTCACTATTTATATTTTTGACAACTTTTACTTCACTACATTCCTAAAGAACATAATGTACTTTTTACTCCATACATTTTCCCTGACACCCAAAAGTACTTGATACATTTTGAATGCTTAGCAGCACAGGGAAATGGTCCAATTCACACACATCCCCACTGCCTCTGATCTGGCGGACTCACTAAAGACAAATGCTGTATTTGTAAATGATGTCTGAGTGTGCCCCTGGCTATCCATAAATTTAAAAAAAAAAAAAAAATGTGCCATTTGGTTTGCTTGATATAAGGAACAAGATATGATTTATACTTTTACTTTTCATACTTAAGTATATTTTAGCAATTACATTTACTTTTGATACTTAAGTATATTTAAAACCAAATACTTTGACTTTTACTCAAGTAGGATTTTACTGGGTGACTTTCACTTGAGTCATTTTCTATCACGGTATCTTTACTTTTACTCAAGTATGACAATTGAGTACTTTTCCACCACTGTGTGTGTGCTTGAGAATGTGTGTTTATACATGCGTGTACGAGTATGTTCTTCTCTCTCTCCCCTCACCAGGCTGAGTGGTGACTGCCTTAATGTCAGGCTCTGCTGCAGCTAGCTGGCTCACTGCTGCTGCGGCTGCTGCATTCTGCTGCTGCTGAACCGCCAGGTTGGCCACAAACTCCTCATGCTGCGTCTTCAGGGTCTGGATCTGCTGCTGGAAGGCCAGCTGAATGGGCTGCACCACCGCAGCGTACTCTGTGATCAGAGAGGCCTGGGAGAGAGAGGAGATGAGCAGGAGGATGGTATTGTTAGTGCTGCAGAAAACACTAGTGATGAACGGCCTGGCTGGAGTGAATAAAATAAATTCAATTAAAATCATGCGCTGTAAATTGTATTATATTTTGATGGACCTTCTTGTGTGACATGGGGCAGCACGCATATACACTACCAGTCAAAAGTTTGGACACACCTACTCATTCAAGGGTTTTTCTTTATTTGTACAAAAAATGTTTTTACATTGTAGAATAATAGTGAAGACATCAAAACTATGAAATAACACATATGGAATCATGTAGTAACCAAAAAAGTGTTAAACAAATCATAATATCTTTTATATTTGAGGTTCTTCAAATAGCCCAATGTTGCCTTGATGACAGCTTTGCACACTCGGCATTCTCTCAACCAGCTTCATGAGGTAGTCAGTCACCTGGAATGCATTTCAATTAACAGGTGTGCCTTCTTAAAAGTTAATTTGTGGAATTTCTTTCCTTCTTAATGTGTTTGAGCCAATCAGTTGTGTTGTGACAAGGTGGTGGGGGGGGGGGGGGGGGGGGTATACAGAAGATAGCCCTATTTGGTAAAAGACCAAGTCCATATTATGGCAAGAACAGCTCAAATAAGCAAAGAGAAATGACAGTCCATCATTACTTTAAGACATGAAGGTCAGTCAATACGGAACATTTCAAGAACTTTGAACGTTTCTTCAAGTGCAGTCGCAAAAACCATGACGCGCTATGATGAAACTGGCTCTCATGAGGATCATCACAGGAATGGAAGACCCAGAGTTACCTCTACTGCAGAGGATAAGTTCATTAGAGTTACCAGCCTCAGAAATTGCAGCCCAAATAAATGCTTCACAGAGTTCAAGTCACAGAAACATCTCAACATCAACTGTTCAGAGGGGACTGTGTGAATCAGGCCTTCATGGTCGAATTGCTGCAAAGAAACCACTACTAAAGGACACCAATAAGAAGAAGAGACCTGCTTGGGCCAAGAAACACGAGCAATGGACATTAGACCAGTGGAAATTTGTCCTTTGGTCTGGAGTCCAAATTGGAGATTTTCGGTTCCAACCACTGTGTCTTTGTGAGACGCGGTGTGGGTGAACGGATGATCTCTGCATGTGTAGTTCCCACCGTAAAGCATGGAGGAGGAGGTGTTATGATGTGGGGGTGCTTTGCTGGTGACACACTGTCTGTGAATTATTTAGAATTCAAGGCATACTTAACCAGCATGGCTACCACAGCATTCTGCAGCGATACGCCATCCCATCTGGTTTGGGCTTAGTGGGACTATCATTTTGTTTTTCAACAGGACAATGACCCAACACACCTTCAGACTGTGTAAGGGCTATTTTACCAAGAAGGAGAGTGATGGAGTGCTGCATCAGATGACCTGGCCTCCACAATCCCCCGACCTCAACCCAATTGAGATGGTTTGGGATGAGTCGGACGGCAGAGTGAAGGAAAAGCAGCCAACAAGTGCTAAGCATATGTGGGAACTCCTTCAAGACTGTTGGAAAAGCATTCCAGGTGATGCTGGTTGAGAGAATGCCAAGAGTGTGCAAAACTGTCATCAAGGCAAAGGTGGCTATTTGAAGAATCTCAAATATCCAATATATTTTGATTTGTTTAACACTTTTGTTGTTACTACATGATTCCATATGTGTTATTTCAAAGTTTTGATGTCTTCACTATTATTCTACAATGTAGAAAATTGTAAAAAAGAAAGAAAGAAAAACCTTTGAATGAGTAGGTGTGTCCAAACTTTTGACTGGTACTGTATGTGGTTGACTTCTAAGTCCAAAGCTTTTAACTGTCAGCCAATTTGCAGTATTTCACTTTACTAGGCCACTAGCTTAGGTCCTCACCTGATACTGGCCCAAGCCCACAGCTGGACTCTGTAACTGCTGGATCGTCACCTCGTCGAAGTAGCCATTCTTTTCCCAGAGTTGCAGAAGCTGTGAGAGAAACAGGAAATAGAAGGTGTCATTCAAACACAGGCAACATCTATATGGAGCAATGTCTACATTGAACAGGCAGCCCACTGACCCGTGTGATCTTCTGCTGCTTGTCCTCCTCTACAGCCAGGAAGCTGGTGCAGTAGATGGGCACCACCACCTTCTGCAGCGCTGCTAGCAGGTCCCTCTGCTGCTTCCTCTGACTGGTGGTACACAAGACAAGGTTCACGTAATAAACCATGAATACAATGCATGACATTATAATTACTTACATTATCGATCACAAGCAGGTTTGTTTTTTTTTCTCATCAGTTTAAAATGCACATATCAGATTGCCAATCACATATGATATGAAAAAAGTGCATTCTGAGGATAAAAACAATGTCTCATTTCCACCATGCTTTTACCAGTGATGGAGGACATCATTGGTGAGATAGATGAGGTGTAGGCGGAGTTCGAAGTGAGCAGTGTCGGCTGTGATGCGGTTCCGGAGGTGTGAGCACATCAGCTCACAGTGCAGTGGGCCCTTGGCGTTGTTGAACATCCAGTTCTTACCAGCCTGGGAGGAACCAGAGAGAAACATACCACTGACTAAACATACCAGACCCTTCTCATCTATTGCTTATGTTGTGTTAACCTGGTGTCATGAACGTACCGAGATGGCGTCTTTAGTGCAGGTGTCAATGATGGGCTGCAGCAGGTTGTCAAATTCAGGGATGTCCTGCTGAGTCTCCGCCAGCAGCTTCTGGGTCTGCTGCTCCATGGCCAGAGCTATGGCTGCCGTCACTTGCTCCTGGAATCAAACGACAACCAGTTCAGTTTGGACATTAGGAAAAACAACAGCTGTCAAATGTATTTGCTTTTAAACTTCATGCACTCTGTCTCATACATTTTATGACCAGAGAATATAGGATATGGTAACTTTGGTCAGTCTGCGCCATGGAGGGCCAGTGTGTGCAGGCTTTTGCACCAGCCCAGCACTAACACAACTGATTCAACTAATGATGGTCTAGAAGACTGACCAACCCTGGGGTAAGGTAACCCGTACCTGTCTGAGAGTGAGCAGCTGCTGTTCTTGCTGCTGCAGGTTCCATTGGCTCTGCTGGATGAGCTCATCTAGAGAGGGCGTGGCAGGGGCGATGGGGGGCGGGGCCAGGATGGCGATTGGTGGAGGGACGTCTAGGACTTCCTTACCAGGTGGATTATAAAGATCTGGCAAGGCAAAAATATCTAAGCGATTAAAGGACAAAGCATGATAAGGAACATTTTGTTGTTGTAGTAGTGATGCTTTTTGTCATTTGCACAGGCAGTTGAAGTGACAGAAAAAAATTAAATTCACAATTAAATTACATTCCGGAAAAGCTAAGGAAGTACCAGAACATGACCATTTTTACATGCAACTAGCTTCATGCCAGGTCAAGGAATGTTCTCATCTTCATTTAACTCAATTCCTTTATACTTCAAAGGAATGTATATTGAAAAAAAATCTTAATTTTGTAACAGGAGAGCATGTGGATTTTTAAGTCACAAAAACTTTGCAGCAGCATTGAAACAATCACAAGCAAGAGACAAAAACTAAATAAATCTACATTTGATATCAACAAGCATCAAGAATATCAAGAACACTTTCTTAGCAAACTGACATACTTAGGCTCCGCAAAGTCCAAACTTGAATTGTGGTTGAAATTTCAAAACTACAATGTTTAGACAAGTATTTTAGATCAACACCAGCAGCAAGGGTATCCCCAACTCAAAATCATCATGATTGAAAAATACAAACACATTAAACACAATACAAAAACAAAGCCTTCAATCCCTGCTGATGCTAAATGTGCAGGTTGGTACTAGAATTGCACTTTTCTACACAACTTTCCAGTAAATACCTTCCAACTTATACTCCTCACATTCGTGGGTAGTAGGATCTATGTGGAGAGAAGCACACATTATAATACAGCTGGCAAACAAACAGCCACACCTTTAATTAGTGTTGTCCATAGCCGCTGGTAGTAGGGGTGCTGCATGGTGTTGTCACAATACCAGTATCAAGATAGTACGACTCTACGATACAAGATTTTACTTTGCAAAAAGAAAACACAGACGCTGTGAAGCAGACTTTACTCTATGGTCCTTTATAACCTACTTTTGTAAAATATTGTGTGCTATAGCTTGCTAAATAAACAAATGTGACTGGTTGACAACCTAAGTCTGTTTTTTCCCCAACATTGGGACTGTTTTCCATAAGAAATGAAGTCTGCTTCATGTTTTGTTTCCTTTCCTTCCTTAGCCTACTTCCTAGTATCGTGATTTGACAGAAATACATGCAGGTCTGGTCTTCTTCCTGCAATGACTAGAAAGAGCTAAAATAAGCCTATTTGAATGGATAGCTATATGAGCTACATACGCTGATGTTGTTCCATAGCAAGCTTGCACCGGTAATAGGCGAAGAAGTCCCCTCCAAACAGAAAAGAGAATTTAGAATTGTCCTTCTGTTTTCTCCATTGTCATCTTCTCAAACTCCGGGCCATTTCGAGCTACAAACTGGGCCAGTTTGTCAATGACATTCTTCAGCTCTTGGTCTGAGGAGGAAAACAATAGGGACATTTTTATGGTGAGTCACAACATGATTTCTGATACACCATACACAGGGGTCTCTATTATTGTTACGTTAACTAATGTCAACGCAGAATTACTTTTCGCAAAGCAATCAAGCTAGCTATTTGTCAGGTTATGATGGTGCCCCCTCCCCAAAACCTGGTTCCCCCTCCCCCAGCTATGTACTGTGCAAGGTAACCGTGTCAGGTAAAGTGGGCACTTGTCAGAAAAGTAGTCGCGTAAAAGGGACAGTATCGACGCATGCGCGACTATAGCTAACTGTAGCTAGGTGTATCAGTCAAAACAGTCCAAATAGGTTAGTGAGTTAAGTAGAAATAGATTCATTAGCTGATCACAAAGCTAATAAAAAGCATAGAATTCTAGCTTAGTAACGACAATCATGTGCCTGACTAGCTTTGGCTAAACTAGCTAGTTAAGTTAGCTGCGTATCTTCATTGCACAGCATGCTAAGTTAGCTAGCACATTGCATTGCTAGTTACTCAAAATTAAAGATACAAACCCTCAGGAGCTGTAGGAATATCCATGTTTGTCTTCAATCAAGTAACAGCGAGCCCGCTGAACCACAAAGACACCCAGATTAATATGAGAAAATGTTATCTAGCTATGTGGTTGAAGGAAAATACAGCAGCATTCCAAAATGTTAGACACTCCAGCACCGGAAGTACTTCGAGGACTTCATACTTCAGGTGCCACTGGAATAAAGCAGCTACAGCGCTCCACCGGTGGGTGGCGTGTCAAGCACTTGTAGGACTGGCAAGGTACACATGTAAATCCAACTTTAGCAACATGAAAAAAAGTGTTATGATGATTCATTGCTTTCACCCTCCCAAAAATATGGACTCTAGTTTTTTTTGTTGCACTGCCTACATAAGGAAGCAGGCATTTACATTTTAGTCATTTAGCAGACGCTCTTATCCAGAGCGACTTGCAGTTAGTGAGTGCATACATTATTTTTTTATTTTTCATACTGGCCCCCCGTTGGAATCGAACCCACAACCCTGGCGTTGCAAACGCCATGCTCTACCAACTGAGCTACATCCCAGTCACACATGTTTGTTCCCCTAAACATTCCTAAGAAACTCTAACTAGTCTGCCACACTGTCCTTTGTTTACATGAGTACATTTGTGTATATAGACTAGTGAGTGATAAACCATACATTGATATTAAGAATCTCAGCAAATGAGTTGAATATAGGAGATGCGTTTTCTAAATGTCAACCATAGGGAGCGCTAGTAATCTCTTCTACATGCTGTCCAGTCTGGTGGCCAGAGCGAATACCCTTGCCAATTGCCATAGTTCACAAATATTAATTCAAGTGGAGATGAAGTGGAAAACCCATAGTTTGAGGATGAGATCTTTCATAATCTAGTTGTGGGGTGAGGAGAATGCATGTGGATTACATTTTTGGATTTACTGTAGTCTCGATTGAATGGTTTGGCTGTCTCTAATAATATCAAATAAAATCAAATTGTATTTGTCACATGAGCCGAATACCATGAAATGCTTACTTACGAGCCCTTTACCAACAATGCAGTTCGAGAAATAGTTAAGAAAATATTTACTAAATAAACTAAAGTAAAAAATAAAATAAAAATTAACACAATAAAATAACAACAACGAGGCTATATACAGGGGGTACCGGTACTGAGTCAATGTCCGGGGGTACAGGTTAGTCGAGGTAATTTGTACATGTAGGTAGGGGGGGTGACAATGTAAATAGTCCAGGTGGCCATTTGATTAATTGTACAGCAGTCTTATGGCTTGGGGGTAGAAGCTGTTAAGGAGCTTTTTGGACCTAGATTTGGCGCTCCGGTAACGCTTGCCGTGCGGTAGCAGAGAGAACAGTCTATGACTTGGGTGACTGGAGTCTTTGACAATTTTTTGGGCCCTCCCTCCCATAATAGATTATAGTGTAACCAGATTATACAAACACAATGAGCAGACTGATTATACCAGGTGTGTTTTCCTTAACAGTTCCTGCACAGTGCATTACAGTGTGTCTATGTGTGTGTGTGTGTGTGTGTGTGTGTGTGTGTGTGTGTGTGTGTGTGTGTGTGTGTGTGTGTGTGTGAGTGTGTGCGCGCGCACATGCATGTGTGATCTACATCATAAACAATCTGGGGTTATCGGGAGGGTATGCATTATAATAATTGTTCTAAAGTAGCAGAGCGGAAGTGACAATCTCACACCGAATGTATAGCAGGCCCTCGCACAGCCTATCCCAATGCATGTTTTCTGGTGAATGAGAGCCTAAGGAGGTTTACAACACGAGATACACTACATGACCAAAAGTATGTGGACACCTGCTCATCGAACATCTCATTCCAAAATTATGGGCATTAATATAGAGTTTCTGTATGGACCTTGCATTGTGCATGCGGGCATTGTCATGCTGAAACAGGAAAGGGCCTTCCCCAAAATGTTGCCATAAAGTTGGAAGCACAGAATCGTCTAGAATGTTATTGTATGCTGGAACATTACGATTTCCCTTCACTGGAACTAAGGGGCCTAGCCCGAACCATGAAAATCTGCCCCAGACCATTATTCCTCCTCCACCAAACTATGCAGTTGGCACTATGCATTCCAGAGAACGCGTTTCCACTGCTCCAGAGTCCAATGGCGGCGAGCTTTACACCACTCCAGCCTACGCTTGGCATTGCGTATGGTGATCTTAGGCTTGTGTACGGCTGCTCGGCCATGGAAACCCATTTCATGAAGCTCCCGACGAACAGTTATTGTGCTGACGTTGCTTCCAGAGGCAGTTTGGAACTCGGTAGTGACTGTTGCAACCGAGGACAGACAATTTTTACGGGCTACATGCTTCAGCACTCAGTGGTCCCATTCCGTGAGCTTGTGTGGCCTACCACTTCGCGGCTGAGCCGTTGTTGCTCCTAGATGTTTCCACTTCACAATAACAGCACTTACAGTTGACCGGGGCAGCTCTAGCAGGGCAGAAATTTGATGAACTGACTTGTTGGAAACGTGGCATCGTATGACAGTGCCACGTTGAAAGTCACTGAGCTCTTCAGTAAGGCCATTCTACTGCCAATGTTTGTCTACGGAGATTTAATGGCTGTGTGCTCGATTTTATACACCTGTCAGCAACGGGTGTGGCTGAAATAGCCAAATCCACTAATTTGAAGGGGTGTCCACATACTTTTGTATATATAGTGTACACACCATATTTCTCTACAGGGGGTGGGGGGGGGACACACACCAAACACTGGCGCCAGCCAACAAATCCTCCGCTCACACCCCCCTCTCTCTCACTGACTTCCAATTATGTCATGCGAAAAAGCTGTGTCCCATTGAAAAGCTCTCTTAATCAAACCCAATTAATTTAGCTCCTTTCCCTTATTATCCCCACTGAGGAATGCGTCCTCCCAATCAGGCTGTTAAATATATATACTTTTTTTTTTTTTATGAATTGATGGGGGTCAGTTATAGTTATGTTCCCAACACTCGTGTGAGGACAACGCAGCATGTTGACTATAAATCACAAACACACGAAAGGCCTAAGTCCACTGTGTTGGCCCCCGATTCAAAATGCGAACGAGGAGATGGTTGGATTTTGCACAGCGAGCCCAACAAAAGCTTCTACGTTGATCTTCTGCTCTTTTCCCATGCTTTTCTTTGTGCCACTCACTCCAGCTCAACGCATGCTTACCCTGGCCCCAGCTGCGCCGTGCCAAGATGTCCAGCAGTCAGTGTCTGCTCAGGCCCGGCCTGGCCACTAATCCCTGAGCTGTCAGAGAACCCCGCTCTGAACTCATCCTGGTCCTCAGGAAAAGGCTCTAATTGGGGGATTTTCTACATCATTAACCCTGATGAGCAGCCATCCCACCCTCACCACAACCCTTCTCTCTCTCGCTCTCTCTCTCTCTCTCTCTTGCTCTCTCTCTTGCTTCTACACTCTTGCTTCCACACTCACACTCTGTCTCTCTCGCTCTCTCTTTCTTGCTCTCTCTAGCTTACACTCCCTCTCTCTTGTTCCCTCTAACCCCCTCCCACCCCCACTCTATCCCCTCATGATTAGGATGTCCTCCCATGGAAAGAGAAAACTTCACAAGCTCTGAAACAATGTTTTCTCATCCACACAGAGTGCTGTTTGTTTGGCTCTGGAAGAACACTGGATAGATAGGATCTCCAAGAACAATATAACAGCATGTGTGCAGTGAGCTGTTCTTTAATGATGAGAGAGACTACTACTTGTTGCCATCAAAGTAAATCCTGTTATTAAAACTCCCCTATAACCACACTACTTCTTAAGATTAATCTTTTGCTTAATTGTTCATTTGTCTGTCAAATGTGAGCGATCCTAACACTTTCTCCAACCAAGTTTAGTTTAGAATCAGTCAAAGGACGTGAGTCATTAAATTACCTCTACAAAAAAACACCAGGTAGTTGAAATTTACAACACACACAGATCCAAAAAGAAAACTTCATAGCAAAATCAAGAACACTGTTGTGTTCACTCTTCACGTTTTGGCCCCAGATGGCTCCGATGAGAGTTCCTCCCGGGCTCCCATCTGACCGGGAGTGTGGTTCACACGCTGGGGAGGCGAGTGCGGCAGGACCAGCCCACTGTGAACATGTGCTGCAGCGGCAGCGCCTGGGGGAGCCTGATTGATTGGAGCTTCATCTTTCTAACGGGCTGGCACCATGCCACCAGCCAGGGACCAGGGGACATGAGGGTGTGGGAGGGAGGGAGAGAGGCTACTATTCACTGTGTGTTAGATCCCATCTCTATCCTTCACATACTATAGTAAGCCTACTGCTACAGTGTTGTATTATACTACTTCAGAGACCGTACTGTAGCGTCAACCATTTACATTCAAAGATTACAGTAGATCGATATTCACAGTCATTGGATTTATAGAGTAGGTAGGATAGAGGAGCCAGAAGACAAAAATTATATCAAACTATATTTGTTTATTTTTTAAGTAGATATTAAATTTTCCCAGAACATGGACATCAACATTTCAGACAAAATCAAAGTAAACAGTAGGAGAACTAGAACACATAACGAATAGGATTGCTATACAGGGAATTAAAAAGTGTCCTGTATATTTTCAGATATAAACCTTAAAATTAACTTCTCAAGATTCTAGTGCATTTGTTAAACAATATCTAAACTTTGGCTTATTCTTGGTCCCAGTATCACATGATGAATGAACATTTCTAAACATATATTTTAATGTGCAAACTAACCCTGTTTCTCTGTTGGGTGTGAGGTCCCAAAAATACCTGACAAGAGTTAAGAGCTAAAGACAATAACATCAAACTAGACAACTGCAAGTAAATGAGGAAAAAATTAGCAGCCTATTTAATAGGGCATAATTAGCAAAACAACAATGATAGTGAGAGTTTATCATAACACACCAGTAAAACAAAAAACAGAATCTTATTTTATGTATTGACCGATGGTGCTATTACCATCTATGACAAAAAGATAGCTTTATAGGTGCAGTAATATATTGAAAAAACTTCACAGTAAGTTGGATGAATTGACAATTCTGTGGTGAGTCTGCAACTTTTTCAAACAGTTGTTATCTGTTAGTCTGGACAAATTATTAGTCTGGCAGCAGAGACATTTTGAGTTTCCTTTTAAAACAAATGCTGCACTTTTGTGTGAAGGAATTGATTTCCTTCATATTGTAATAGCTTAAAAAATATCACTGAAAGTAACATAATTAAATGTTACCCCTCGCACATATTCAATTACATTAGGATAAATAATATTTATATCTGTAGAAAGTCTAAGCAAAATCAAAATGCTAAATGATTTTACATCAGAAATGATTAATTCTACCTAGCCCTTTATATGATATATTGTCATTTTACAATGTGCAGTATACAGAGGTGGTTGGAGGTAGTCTTTTTTACCATACACAAACCACTTAAATGGGGACCCAATCTCCCCAATGCCATATTAAATATACATGCAGTAATTATCAAAACATAATGCCACAATGGACCTGTACACCCCATGTAGTATCTCTTTGACATAGATGACATGATAAAATAGACAATTCATGCTCTTTTTTTATTCCTGGGGTCTTGCTATAGAGGCCTATTTAGTGCAGTCTGTGACCGTTTTCCCCCTCGAACTTTAGACAAAGAAGATGGGCTTGGATCAATTGTGCCAAACAAAGAGAAAACTATGTGGGGTGACATCAGACCATTCTCCTTCTGCTGCTCTGCACGTACACACAGTGACGGAAGGCCAAGCTGCCTCCTCTAACAGCCACTGAGACAGAAAAAGGTTACTTTAGTGGCCTCTTCGCTCTGTCCCCCTGTTCTCTTCCCACCCCTACTGTGAGAGGGAGTTCGCCTGGCTTCCATTCTCTCTCTGTACGAGGTTTACGCCATAGAACACTCTGTTTGACTGACCCAAACATGTTTAGCAGCTCCAATCCAAAACTAAAACAGATATTTGTTTCCTCAGTGAATCAAGATGTCACACACTGAGGGTGCCATCAAATTCAGAGATTGGATTTTGATATGTACCATCCTCAAGAGCCATTCTCAAGGAACAAGAGCCTCACATTGTTTGACCTGCCAGCCCTACTGTGAAAGAAGGTGTTGCTATCAGTGTGTGTGCAGTCTGGAGTGTTTGTGTGTGTGTGTGCAGTCTGGAGTGTTTGTGTGTGTGCAGTCTGGAGTGTTTGTGTGTGTGTGCAGTATGGAGTGTTTGTGTGTGTGTGCAGTCTGGAGTGTTTGTGTGTGTGTGCAGTCTGGAGTGTTTGTGTGTGTGTGCAGTCTGGAGTGTTTGTGTGTGTGTGCAGTATGGAGTGTTTGTGTGTGTGTGCAGTCTGGAGTGTTTGTGTGTGTGTGCAGTCTGGAGTGTTTGTGTGTGTGCAGTCTGGAGTGTTTGTGTGTGTGTGCAGTCTGGAGTGTTTGTGTGTGTGTGCAGTCTGGAGTGTTTGTGTGTGTATGCAGTCTCAGGACAATCATCAATGAAGTCAATTAAGACACTTTCAGTTGAGTTAATTGAGTGTTAAAAGGTGTTCACATCTTTTCAAATTAAATAGCATGACAGATTGTCTTACGCATCCTCAGCTGAAAGCGTACTCCAGCCAGAGCCAGGACATATCAACCATGACCCCACAACCCACAGAGTGGACAGAGGCTCTCTACTGTAACTGCAGTTACTACAGACAGAAATATAGTGTTCCCCTTCTTCAGAGGTGGCTGTGGTTTTCTTTTTCTCCAGGTGTTGAAATAACCTGACCATCATAACTGGATGAATGATTCTGTGTTTCAGGGTCATAGACATAGTGATTCACACCGCCGCAACCTTCAACAACTATTATGTGAGACATGGCATGTCCATTCACAAATACTGAGAGAATGACTGGTTAATTGACCCGTAACATTCATGACAAATTAGACAATTTGATTAATTAGAAAAATACACAAACCTTAATTTGCAGAGTTAAATGTGACTGTGTGTGAGCACTCTACAGAATGAAATAATCTGGAGGGGACTTAATTATTAGATTTATGGCTAACAGCAAGGTACAAAACATTAAAACTACTCTTACAAAAAGTAAAATAATAATGAGTAACAAAATTAACAAATGGACAGTCTGGGTTATCTGCATTACAGACTTAACTAGCGTGTACAGTGTTTGCATTTTTACAGGAATACTGAGAAGGAAGTATTTGTTGCCTTGGTTACGACATCCAAACCTTGAGATGAGGATCAAAATTAAAAAGTTGCCATAAAGGGCAGTTAGTGTCTAGTGGAATCTTTGTTCCAGTTGCTTCATAAAAGTTAATCAAAAAAAAAATCAAGTAACACTTGTTATGCTGCCTTCCACCATAACTCAGTTAACTTGAGCAGTCCCTGCAGTCCTTTTGGAAAATGGTTGCTTGTTCATTTAAATTTGCGAGGCCTTTCTTGACATTCTGAGTCATAGGGTCCTTTCTGGATGGTGGCACACAAAATATGTATCAATTTCCAATCCTTCACATTACTAGTAGAAAAGGAACTCAAAACAGAGACCAAGAACCATTCTAGTATAAAGGTCGCTGGTGCTGGAAATCTTAGACATCAGGAGTCATAACTGTGCATTTGTCGGTGCCATCACTGCAATCCTGTTGCATGGAAAAATGCATTAGAATGGACCCAAAACCCCAATCATGACTGGAAACACAGTTTCAATATCCCATCACATGGGCTGCCAGGTTTTGTCCATGGACTGGATGTGTTCCTTGGCTTTCATCCTCAGCACTGTGATGCTGGAGCTCCTCTGGTCCACGTCCTCCATCAGATACTTGTCGGTGAAGGTACCGGAACACTGGTACGGAGGAGGTGCCATGGACTGCATCCCTTGGCCCATGGGTGGAGGGCTGTTGAGGAAGCTGTGGCTGGGGTAGCCTCCCTGCGGGCCCTGGCCTGGGCCCATGAAGCCTGGGATGCTGTGAACTGGGGTGGCGATGGACAGAGGGGAGGTCAGCCAAGGGTCCAGGGGGAGGGAGTTGCTCATGGGCCCCATGTTGCTGTGCATTGGCGGCCGGTTGAAGGAGAGCATGGGTGAGTCGTGCAACTTCATGGTACTGGCGTCAATCTTCTCCTGGCGCCTCCATTTGGCTCTGCGGTTCTGAAACCACACCTAGAAGAAGGTAGAGGGTTTGGATTTATAGGGTTGAGTATTTACAGCACAGAGCATTTCAACTGATGCCAAATGGGGTTAGTTTAGTGCTAATATTAGCATTATCAAGCTACCTATTTTGGTGGCTTGGTATCAAATAAATAATAAAGTATTATTGAATTTAATTGTTCTGAGACCTTAGAGTTGCAAAATTCTGTGAACTTCCAATAAATTCCCTGGTTTTCCTGAACTCTCGGTTGGAATCAGGAGGGAGTAAGCAGGAAATCCCGAATACTCCAACCAGGATTTCTGGAATAAGGGAATTTATTGAAAGTTCCTGGAGTTTTGCAACCCTATGAGATCTTCAATTGCCTTGACCTACACTTGGCCCTCCACCCTGCTGTATGTAACACCTTGCACATTTTATTGAATGTCCCTAGAGCAGGGTTTCCCAATTTTCTTTGAATTTTCATCGTTGGACATAAAAGACTGTAAAAACACCAGGAAATCAGCTCCAAGTGATTTTTATTTAGGAAATATGTTCCCAAGTATTCCCACGCATGATAGAGAGACATGTGATTGTATACAAATGTAAGCAAGGTTTGAAATTATTATGTTTTAGTCAAATATTATATCTGTTTGGGCTTCTTGTGGTCAATTTGCAGTCTGCAAATTATGTTTAATTATGTTCCGGCCCCCCGACCATCCGCTCAACAAAAAATCGGCCCGTGGCTGAATATACTTGAAGATTCCTGCCCTAGAGAACCTGGGACCCGATCCATTGTCAGCAAGGCTTGGACAGTGACACTTGAACGTTTGGCACCTATTGGAGCCTCTGAGCACCTATGGGCATGCTAATCTTCTGATGTGGAACATCTTAGAGGCCTTAGGTATAATGTCCTATCATTCCTCAGCAGCAGAAGTCCATAATGTCAATGTTTTGTACAGTATCTGTCCCTTTTCAAATAAACCATCTAAATAAATAATCATAAACAAATTAAGAGATGGTATTTATATAATTGTTGATTTGGGAAAAGAATCAATTTGCCCATTATAGTGAGTTCTAATGATTTGCCCCAGGGCCTGCGTGCACAACAGCTATAGTTGTATTTACAGCATGGAGTATTTAACCTGTACAGGCCAATCTTAAATCATTTCAACCTGCTTTAATACTTTGCCCTTAGACTCTGCTAAGACAAGCTTCTAATGTCTATCCTCAGAAAACCAGAGATCTGTGCCAGTGGGGACACGACATGGCTTGCTTTGTCACTTGTATTCATAGTACAATGCCTGCTGTGAGTGACCTCGAAGCTCCTGAGGATCTAGAAATCTGCCCGAAAGTTAATAAGTAATCACTCATGATTATTATCTAAAGACTGAAAAAAGGTACTTCTGACCCAGTGAGGTTTTTCATTAGAAAACATTAGCAATTTGTTCACTGTATTCAGCTCGAATCAACTTACCGAGGGGAAGAATTCACATTGGACCAAGGTTGTACCTGATCAGATTTGTACAAATGTGAGCTCACTGCTAACTGCTGTTGTCACAATGATTTGCCAGAAAATCAGAGGAGTTGACCAGAGCACAGCACAGTACCAGTAACAATGGTGGTGGACAAACCTACCTGAACTCTGACTTCAGGGAGGTTAACCTTCATAGCCAGCTCCTCACGGCTGTACACATCAGGGTAGTGGGACTTCTCAAAGGCACACTCCAGCTCGTGCAGCTGGTAGGTGGTAAAGGTGGTGCGGTTGCGTCGGTGCTTCTTCTTGGGCCGCTCTTCCTCGCAGGGCTCCGGACTCTTCCCACTGTCGCTCTCCACACTCTTCCTCAGCTCACTCATGTCGCCATCACACTTATCTGAGTACAGTACTGAATCTGTAGAGCCCATAGGGAGAAAGAAGAGATTCACATTTGCTTAATCCATTAACAAAGTTACTTTGACTCCTTTTGATTTACCCAAACAAGCTTGTTTGACTTTCACTGTAAATGTAAGTTGTTCTTTTTTTAAGCTTTACACAGTTAAGTATCGTTAGCTTGTTAGCCAACTGTTGGCTTTAGGCTCTCCTATCATCAGCCATATGTTATGTCTAATCAACATGTCTGTCTTGGCTAGACAGAGATTTTTCACAATTTCTGTAATCACATGTGAGTGAATGGCCAATGGGAATGACCAATCAATGAAAGAGATGGTGAAGAAAGGTCTAGCTGTTGAAGAGTTATAAGGGTTGGACAAAAGCTGAAAACATGGGATATTCAAATGAGCTCCACAACCCATTAATAATTTGACCAGTGTATGTTCTGACAACTTTCCAGTAGAGCACACATTTATTTGACACCTGCAACAATAGGCTACTGTAGGTCAACGAAGCTGAAGTTGACAAAAGGAGGTTGACCAATGTACTTCAACGTGACACTTAAAATTAGCCCTTAGCAAGTTGATGGAGATTCAAATTGTTTGTGGTAGACCTATAGGCTGGCATCTAGGTTAGCAGTAGCACAGTACAGAAAACCAGTGGAGAAGATGAAGAGGCAATCCCAGGTTCCTGTAAATCTAAAGAAACGGATATCATCAGATATGGATATGTTGTAGTTTTTAACGAGACATGTCAGATTACTGTATGTTGCAGGTGTCAAAGCAGTGTGTCTTACTCTATGCATGCAAAGACATGTTGATTGTCCTTCTGCCTTGTAACAAAGCATACATGAACAGCATACAAATGTAGGATCTTAATTTGAGCCAGTTTGTTGCAGCAGGAAAGTAATCCTGCAGCAACAGGAAATGTGAATTATTATGTGGATTATAATTAATGGACATTTTTGTAGGGGTTGATACATTTTTCGTAAGGGAAAATCAAATCTGAAATTTCTAAGTGGAAATTACAAACTTCAGAATTATTTTTAAACCTCAAACACACTACAAGTTCGAAATTTCCTGCATTGCAGGAAGGTTCTCCTGCAACAGAGTGATCAAATTAAGATCCTACATCTGTACATGGCACGGACTTGCTAAGGCTTTCACTGCAGATTTCCCTCTTACTAATCTTCAGAGGGAAACAGATGCAGCCTGTTATTTCCTCTGATAGCGTCCATGTATACTTAACTCTAATCTACGTAGGACCTTCATTTGTATCAGCTTCATAATCAGGAGAATACTGTAAACAATACAAGGAAATGGGTAAAGCCGTAACATGCTGTCAATGTGTTGAATTAGTCTTTTTCAAAGGGTAATCAAATTAAATCGGGCACAAAAATGACCATCAGATCAGTTGCACCCTCTACGCATCTGCCATCATAGCAGTGATCTATGCATTAGTCCTGTACTGTATAATAAAATATCGGTATACAAATTATCTATTGGGACACTTCAAACACGTCAATTCTATAATTTGCCCCAGACATAAAAGTAAGAGTGTGTCAGTTTGGGTTAATATTGTGGGTGATTTTCATTATCAGTTCCCATTGACCACATAACTTTATAGCTACCCGTTTGGCACATGGAGGGATAGGGATTCTTTGGGAGCTTCGTTTTACAATGCTTAGCCAAAACATGATGAATAAAACTTTCTTGCACCGTCACCAAACCAAACATGGCTAGCCCCAGCCCAGTTCAAACCCATGACCCAGTAGGAACCAACTGTAAACCCACTAGTGGATTCCGACCATTATCAAACCCTGCTAAATTAATCTTCATATCAAACCAGTGCTTGATAGAATCAGGACAGAAAGCCAAGCAAAACCTTCAATTATCAGACAGGGGCAGCTAGACGTATTTTTTGGGTCTATTGATCTTTCTCTCATTAACAGCCATTGACAATGCCCATAGTGACACAATGGAGGGGTCAGGCTGGGTTCAGTGACCAGCTCCCTGCCTGTCAGACTGATGGAACCACCCGTCTAAAGACCTTGACATGTTAACAGTCCAGCAGCAAACCTCAATGTGGAGGGGACAAAGTGATGCTATGTAGTACGAAGTGCCCATTCAGACGTGTAGTATCTGAAAGTCTATGATTTTGCTGACATTTGCAAATGGTGTGATAGATGAACGTTACTCTGCTTTGCTGAAACATCTGGAAAGCATTACTACATAGGCTTCTTGGAATAGAGGACATTTGGAGATATGTGGAGGCCAGGGATTGGTCTATCAAAAACCACCCATCTTATGTGGTCCTCTGTAGCTCAGCTGGTAGAGCACGGCGCTTGTAACGCCAAGGTAGTGGGTTCGATCCCCGGGACCACCCATACACAAAAAAAAATGTATGCACGCATGACTGTAAGTCGCTTTGGATAAAAGCGTCTGCTAAATGGCATATTATTATATTATATTATATATTATTATATTATATTATTATATTATATATTATATTTATGTTACATAGGATATAAATACCATGTTTTGAACAAAGGACGGGGAGAATAACATATTAGAGATTGGGTCAGTTATTCTCCGGATTTCTGCAGGAGTCTGTAAATTGATACTGTAATCTTTGATGTAATAAACCATTATAATCAAGGACAGTGTCAGCGGATTTCTTGTCTACACAGCATATCAGCATCGTTGTCTCGACACCACAGAATGGCGACGAGGATTTTTGGGACGTGTTGCGTCTCTTCAGCGTTCCATTCATGAGCTACGAAGTGACTCCCGCTCAAGAGGCCGGCAGATAAGGTGAGCTTTCTCACAAACTTTGGGCGCTGGTCGGTTCGTGTGCTGTGTGTGTGCGTTGAGGAGATGTACCGTTTTAGGACTTGCGTGTGCGCTTTGCTGTTATTACAAGTTAGTTATGTGTTAAAGACATGTAAATTAGTACTGAATACCAAGTGCTCAGTTGGTAGAGCATGGTGCTTGCAACGCCAGGGTTGTGGGTTCGATTCCCACGGGGACCAGTACGAAAGAGTACGAAAATATATGCACTCACTACTGTAAGTCGCTCTGAATAAGGGCTTCTGCTAAATGACTAAAATGTAAATGTAATGTAAATTAAACATTAATGATAATATTTTAGTCAATTGGTACAACCATATCATAAGACACTTACAAATACTTTGTAATTTCATGAATCATGACAAATGCTGATTTGTGCTGCATGTTTCACCAAACCTTTTTTTTTGACCCCATAGAACCAGGATGTAAAAACTGCCAGAGATTAAAAGACAGCCCACATTTCATGCGGAGATGAAATGTTAATAACATGAAACTGCACTACTGTTCAATTTCATCTGTGTCCAAGAGAAGATTAGGGGAATTCCACAAGGGAATGGGATTTGGGTTGAAACACCCTCACCATCTTGTTTTGTGATTTATCTCTCAAAATAAGCATGATTTCACCGTTTTTACAAGGTACGGCAACATGTCATTTACAGTACCCCTATAGAGATACAATATAATGTTCAATTTAATTCTGTGAGCACACCTCTGATGAGAAACTACCCAGACCGTCTGCAAGGCTACAACTAATGCAGCCATTGAGGTCATTGTTGCCTCAACACATTGATGCAATGGAAATAATAAAATCTTAATGACTTAAGTAAATATGCAAATCATTACATCACTAAAAGACAAAGGGAAGTGTGCAAGTTCCCGCGTCCTCCTACACACTCTGTGGTCCACTAAATTAAAGGTTAGTATTAAAGGTTCGGTTTTGGTTTTTCCATTTATATTTCCAGGTTGGACGTCAGCACGTTGGATCACCAATTGGTGTCACCTCGTCAGTCAGTATGTGATACACCTGTGCTGGCTTGTCATCTCATTAGTCAGAAGATGGGGGCACAGGTGATATTTAAGAGCGGCTGGCGCTCCAGTTGGCTTGAGAGATGTGGAGGGTTAACATCTTTAGTTGGCTCTCCCTATTTGATTTAAAAAAAAAAAACTATCCTTTATCTGATCTTCCCTGTTTTCATTTTGCTCAACTTTTTGGATTGCTTCCCATCTATAAGTTTGGTGGCCGCTCATGGCGGGTGTCTTTTAGGTCCTAGTTGTTGATAATCAACTTTCAGTGGACACCCCCATGAGTGTCTTTCAGAACCCCTCCTAGAACCCCACCTGTTTTGTTTTGGTTGTTTTTAGTGACACTTTGTTAGTTCCCCATCTGATTGCGCGGAGAACGTAACCGCTACACTCAAATTAGTATATGCTACGTTTAATATGGTTACATAAAACAGGCAAAACCAAAGTAGATTAACTAGCAACCCCAAAGGGGTCGAATCTCATCTGACAACTTTGTTTTAACTAATTAGCAACTTTGCAACTACTTGCTACTTTTGAGATACTTTGCAACTACTTCGGCTCTCTTCCCCTAACCGTAATCCCAGTACTGCCATCTCTCACGTATTTGACCCTTTTCCCACGCTCACATGCCACACCTCTTATTTCTCACGCATTGAAAAAAGTACTGCTTTTATTTTCTAATTAATCATTCAGTGCGTTATTCTACATTTACGTCATTTAGCAGACGCTCTTATCCAGAGCGATTTACAAATTGGTGCATTCACCTTATAGCAGTGGGGTAACCACTTTACAATATGTATATATATTTTATTTTTTTTTGGGGGGGGGGGGGGGTAGAATGATTACTTTATCCTATCCCAGGTATTCCTTAAAGAGGTGGGGTTTCAAGTGTCTCCGGAAGGTGGTGAGTGACTCCGCTGTCCTGGCGTCGTGAGGGAGCTTGTTCCACCATTGGGGTGCCAGAGCAGCGAACAGTTTTGACTGGGCTGAGCGGGAACTGTGCTTCCGCAGAGGTAAGGGGGCCAGCAGGCCAGAGGTGGATGAACGCAATGCCCTCGTTTGGGTGTAGGGTACATCACGAGCATTGTAACCGCGGCAGCTTCTCCCAAGATATCCCTAATTTTCCTGCCATCGCACTGTGAACTGCGGCAGACTGAAGCGTG